CCCCTCCCCTGCCCAGGAGCTCTGATCGAACTCCTTCAGATGAAGCAGCTTCACATCGACGACCTCGCAGGACCACTCGACCCTCTTCTCCCTAGCCTCATGACCTTCACCACCTCCGAGGACCTCACCAACCGCATCAGCAACCTCTACCAGGTGAGCCGGTCGCCCTGCCAAGTCTGCGAGTTTGACGTGCGCGCCAGAGGCTTGACTTGGATGAAAATGGTTCGCTCAGTTTCAAGGAGTTCCAACAGGGTCTAGCTCGCCTCAAGCTGAAGAAGAACATCCGACTGTCCCTCGAGGACTTCGAGGCTCTCACCTTTGACAGGTCCCTCCTCGATGACGACGGCGAGCTGACGCCCAAGGCCTTCGAGGCCATGATACGCTTCCAGCTCGACGAGTACGCGCGTAGGAAGGTGGGTGAGGCGCTGGGAGGTGCCGTGAGCTGTGTGTGCTTGATGTGTTTTCCCGATGTCTCTGTGTGCTCACCAGGTCCTTGCAGATGATCTCTCAGATCTCTCTGGTGGAGGACGACTGGCTGCGGCAGCTCCTCCTCGCCGCTCACACCAACATCGCGTCGCTGGATCAGATCAGGTCGCAGATCATGCCGCAGGTGTTCTCGAACTCCAGGAAGTCGGAGTCGCGCAAGCAGATCCTCACTCGGCTCTTTCGCTCCTCCGTCTACTTCGCGTTCCGCGAGTGGAAGCGACTCGCAGCTGACGGCGGAGCGCGGTCGGTCTCCTCCGGCAACGTAGATGACGCAAAGGCGCTGTGGTCAGAGCTCAAGGGGCAGCAGCAGCGGCTGGACGACATGGACAGCAAGCTTGACCGCATCCTGTCCCTCTTCCACGACGGAGAAGCGCACAAGAACGGCAAGAAGAAGGCTTCAGTTGGCTGTACCGTGTCCCGAGGTGGGAAAGTCACGTGCATGGGCACAGACTGCGAAACGATTTTCGTGCGTTCCTCGTCGAGAACCCGAGGAGCTCATAGCCCTTTGAAGGACATGGAGCAGTCGGACGCCGATGATTGCTCGTCTCCTCCTCAGCGCCCTTACGCCGCCAAGCTGGAGCTCTACAGAAGCCTCAGCTACAACACGTTAGACCACAACCGCAGCATCCCTCAGTCCCCCGTTCCTGGTCGGCCCGTCAGAAGCCTGGTCGTGAAGCTGCCGTGGACCAGCGTGTTATCGAGCCTTGCCACGAGGAGGCAGCAGGTGCAACTAGACGCGCCGCGCATGGAGGGACGAGTGGTCCTTGCGGACGAGGAGCACGTCTATCTCGTTCTGACTGGAGGAAGTGCCTCGATCCTGGGGAGCGGTCGGCACTCACGGAACAGCTCGCCCTCTCTAGAGGCGTCCGAGCAGCGCTCCTCCTCCTCCTTCCCGAAGCAAATCAGGTGAGTCAGAAGGTGGAGGCAGTGGTGCGAGACGAATGACTTGCTTTGCCACTCGAAGGCCTGGGAGGCATGTCCAGCAGGGAGCCGTTGACGCGTCGATCGTGGAAGTGGAAGGAGGCGAGCTGGAGGTGAAGACCAAGGCAGGAGAGATCTTCAAGTTGCACGAGGACGCGCTCATAGCGCTGTTGTGCATCACGAAGAACAAGTCGCCGCCCGGTCCCTTCACAGGCACTAACGGTGATGCATAAACGGTTCACGAATTTCGCCTTGTTTCCGGGCCATGACTGGTAGGATAACTTTGACTTAGTCAATATTTGTTTTAATAAATCAGGAATCGATCTACTAGGCTAGTACGGTACACAAGCTGAGCCTTGTGCAGTGTGACTGCGGTCCCCGCCGGCATGGCGTCCGCCGACTTGCCTGACCGTACGCTCACCACCGTGGCACTGACACACACGGTTTACTCCCGCATGCCCGGCCAGTCCACGGACTTGACTCTGACGGCGAGTCTGGTCACTTGCCGGGGGCCGGGTGCCACGGATCACTGGACCGGCCCGGCTGACTGGCTGCTTCACCGCCGGGCCGCGCAGGTCATGGAATTCAAATGAGTCACTGGCAACCGTGACGCCCGTCCGGACGGTCATTTTCTGTTCTGCCAGGCTCGTGGTGTCAAGAGATTTTTGACTTTTTTTTTTCGAATTTGGAGTCCCCCAGTGTGCCCCTACAAAAAATGGGGGCGGGAAAGCGCAGTAAAGTCCAAGGGAAGTAGAGGCAGAGGAGGAGAGGAAGAGGAAGGAAACGAATGTGGGGAGTCCGTTAGCAGTAGAGGACGAGGAATCCCTGGTTCGGTCAAGACACGGTGAGCTCGGTTGGACAGGGGGAGCAGATTTTGCGTGAAGACATAGAAGGTACCGCGGTGAGCATGCAAGGTTCCTCGACTCAGTAGTACTTGCAAGAGCAGCTTAGACATCCTCACATGTGTAAGACTGTCAGGCAGTCATGATGAAAGTTGCGATACAGATTCACCCGTGAGAAAGTTCACGGTTGCAGCGACCATTCCGCTCTGTCCTGTTTTACCTCCACGTGATTGCTTTCCTCCCTTATCGCAGGTTCTCGACCATGAAGACCGCACGATCGGCGAGCTTGTGCGACCTCCGAGAGCTCTTGGATGTCAATGGCGATGGTCAACTCTCCTTTGAGGAGCTGTCAGGTCAGGACGAGTTGCAGTCTCCTGCGGGCATCCTCTGATTGATCTTGTCCCTCAGACGCTATGTGCGACGGCAGAGTCTCTCTGCCTCTTGACAAGAGGTGCATCATGAAGGGAACGCTGGAGAAGAAGATCCTCAGGTCTGTCGCGTGCTCTTTATGCTCCCCCAACTACCTCTCACGACGTGCCGTCAACAGCATCATGGTCTCGTGGAACCCCAGGAACGTCGTGATGACGAGCGAGTTTCTGCTCTTCGCGTACATCGACTCCAACACGGCAGTGGACATCATACCTCTCAACGAGATCATGTGCCTCATCGGCTCTCACGGAGAAGACAAGGCTGCTTCATCCTCCGCTGCAGACGACTTCCTAACCTTTGTCATAGTCACCTCCCCCGATGGTTACAACGCAGGGAAGAAGTATGTGCTACGAGCGCAGTCGGACGAGGAGTACAGCAAGTGGCTGGAGCTGATGGAGCAGGCGATCGCGGACTCCAAGAGGAGGAAGGAGCAGGAGCTGCTCGAGATCAAGTCGGGCGGAAGCAGGCTTGCCAAGTTCAGGACCCGGGCGTTCGACTTTTACCACTCCAGAAAGATGCAGCTGGTGATCGCCGCTATCATCCTCGCTTCCTTCGCCACCGCCCTGTTCGAGGCGCAGGTCCTCCCGGAGGATGGGACTGAAGGATCGCGCATCTTCGAGGACATCACTCTCTCCTTCACAGCGATCTTCTCTATCGAGCTGCTCTTCAACCTTTTCGTCCACTCCGAGGACCGGTTCCTCCCCTTCTGCAGTGACCCGTGGAACCTCCTCGACGTCTGCGTCGTCGTTGTCCTCCTCTCCTCTCTCATCATCACCAACAGGCTCTTGTCCCTCCTGCGGCTGATCCGCGTGCTCCGTGTTGGCCGCCTGTTCCGGTACTTCAAGGCCCTCAGCAGGATCGTCAAGGCCCTGAGCTCTGCCACCCTCCCCGTCATCAACTGTTTTCTCATCCTCCTCCTCCTCGCCTGCGTGTACGCCACTGTTGCTACCTACCTCTTCCGCGACCTCCAGCCTCAGTTCTTCGGCACGTTCCTCAACTCTCTCTTCACCATGTTCCAGGTCATCACCGGCGACAGCTGGGCAAGTGCCGTCACCCGCTCTCTCTTCGAGCCCGACCCCAACGGGAGGATCAATTACGGCATCGCCTTCTTCTTCGTCAGCTTCGTCCTACTCGGGACCATCGTCATGGTCAACGTCGTCGTCGCCGTCCTCCTTGACGAGTTCATCTCGTTCGTGACCAAGGAGAAGGAGGAGATCGCAAGGGTGGAGGCGGAGGAGCGGGAGGAGAAGTCGCAGGCTTCCCGCATCACGGGGGTCCTCGACTCCCTGACGCAGACTCTAGCTCACTTCACTGGGACTGCCGACCTGACGCACAAGATCGACCAGTGCTACGAGCGGCTCGACATCGACAAGTCCGGGGGCCTTAGCTTCAAGGAGTTCCAGAGCGCGATCAAGACTCTGCCGCTGAAGCGCGCGATCCAGCTGACTGAGGATGACTTTGACATCATAACGGAGAACGGGAGGTTCCTCAACGAGGAGAGGGAGTTCGGCCGCGAGCAGTTCCAGCTGATGATGAAGGGCGAGCTCAACAGGTTCGCGCAGAGGGCTCTAGAGAATGCCCTGCTGGAGTCGGACAGCAAGGACATCCAGTCCATCGTGCTCGTCCTGAAGCTGCTCGACATGAAGATCGACAGCATGTCGGGGAACTTGCAGAAGATGTTGGACAAGGACAAGAGGCAAGAGGATCGCGATGAAGATGGCGAGATGGCGGCAGAGGTGGCGGCAGAGAGCAAGAACGTCAAGTTTCAGCACGCCGAGCCGAAGTTCGACACTGCAAGGGGCTCGAGTCCTAATGTGACGTGAGTCGGTTGACATGTAAGGAGGTTGATGGTGGTGCAGATGGCGATCAAGTCGATGCACAAGAACATCAAGAAACTTGAGGTGACGATGATGTGTTGTTGTAGAACTAGACAGAAGAAGAAGATGTATAGACTAGACTGGATGATGTTGATGTTGATCTGTCTCGGAAGGAAGTCGCTCGTCATCTTGCTAGATGATATAGCTGTTATATGATGATACATCTTACATGGCGATTTAGCTGATGTCTTACATGGCGATTTAGCCGATGTCTTACATGACGATTTAGCTGATGTCTTACATGACGATTTAGCTGATGTCTTACATGATGATGGCTATGATCTGACTGGTTTCTTTCCAACAGAAAGATTTTCAGTCCGTGAACGAGAAGCTTGAGATACTTTTGAATCAGAAGAACAGAAAGAAAGAGTCCGATCGCGCTCGTGCCGCCGTTAGCTCAACTATCTTCCCCGCTACCCTCGAGGTTGTTAACTTCTGCCGTCATGTCATTCCAGTCATCTTTTCTCTGTCAGCGAAGAAGCTCTGCGGCGGAGTTGCGAGGCCGAGACGAGTTTGTTGATCGCATGTACCTGCTACTGCTGCTGCTGCTGCTGCTGCTGCTGCTGCTGCTCTCGATCGTGCTCGTGCTCGTGCTCGTGCTCGTGCTCGTGCTCGTGCTCGTGCACCTGTGCCTGCTGCAGCTCTCCTTCCCTTGCCCTCTTCTGAACCAAGTCCTCCATCTCCTCCACCATCCCCTGCTGGATCCTAGAGCGCCTGAATCGTTGGATCGCAGGAAAAGCACATGGAAGGTGATGCGGTCGAAGCAAGCTGAAGTCTACAGGAACCAGCCCAGCGCTCAGGAAGTCTCCTTCTCCCCCCCTCCCCCGAGCAGAGTCCCCATGAGGCGCCCAGCAGCAGAAGACAAGAGGCACAACGGGAGCAGCGTCGAGGTGAACCTTGACTGTGTCATCTCGTACTCACCCTACACGCTCAGGACAAGCCGGCAGGGCAGCAACGAACTCCAGTCCTCTTCTCTGCAACGTCCTCTCCTCCCCTCCACCACCTCCCCTCATCTCTCTCCTCCTCGGTCCCCTCTTCCCCTTGCCCCCCTCTTCCACTGCTCTTCCTCCCCCCCCCTCCCCCCTGCCTCTCTTTCCCCGCTCCACTTCTTCTGTTCGTCTTCCACTGCTCCACCTCCACTGCTGCCTGCTCTGCTTCACCTTTGCTCCTCTTCATGTCCTTCTACCCTCTTGCTTCTGCGCCACTCGTCCTCGTCCTCGTCCTCGTCCTCGTCCTCGTCCTCTTCCTCTTCCTCGTCCTCGTCCTCACATCTTTCCTTGCAGGTCAGGAGCGCATGATAGAGAATACTTCGAGTCGCCTGCCAACAGCGGCAGCGTCTTCGCCAGGTCGACCGAGGAGCCGAGGAGGGTCAAGAGAGGATGAAATCGAGAAGCAGCCGTCCTTTCGCTTCCATCTCATCCTCTCTTCTCTTCTCCTCCCCACTCCTCTCCACTCCTCCACTCCTCCACTCCTCCACTCCTCCTCTCCTCCTCACACATTCGTAGCTGCTCATTGTCTAAAGAAACTCCTTCTTCCTCCTTACCCCTGTACTAGCCTTCGCCTTTCCCTCCCCCCCCCCTTCTCCTCCCTACTGTCCTCGCTTCCCCTCTTGCATTCGCGCGTACCTACTAGATAATTTCGAAACCCCTCCTGCCGGTAGCCTTCGTGTGTGCGAGGGAGCAGCGAGAGAGGAGCAGCGAGAGAAGAGAGAAGGGGAGAGGAGAGGAGAGCAGGGGAGAGAAGGGGGGAGAGAGAGGAGGGAGGAGAGAAGGGGAAAGAAGAGGATGGGAGAGGGAGAGGAGGAAGAAGAGTGCGAGCGAGGGTGTTAGGTAGAGGAGTGGTGATTGAGGGGTGGAGTGAGGAGGGGAAGCACGAGGAGGAGTGAGGAGGGGAGGGAGGAGAGGAGGGAGGAGAGGAGGGAAGGGCCAGCACGCGGGTAAGGGGGATCATGACGTCCAAGGGGTCATGGGTAGAGCTGCTGTCGGACATCGTCGGGACCAAGAGGTTCGGCGAAGCCGCCATCCTGTCTATGGACGGGCTGACGTATGGTAGCACACATGGCTTCAGGGTGAGGAAGAAGGAGTTCCTCCTCCTCAACCGCTCCTTCCTGGACCCCGCCAGCATGTTCGAACACGGGCTGCCAGTCAACGGCAGGAAGTACGTCGGGATATCCGCCAACCCCAAGACCCTGCATGCCAAGTCAGGACCTTCGGGAGTGATCTGCGTTCGGGCAAGAAACTGTGTCCTAGTGGCGACTTACTACCCTCCTACCAGCGCACCGCAGGCGCTGATAACGCTAGAGGAGATCTCGACCGAGGTGAATATTGGCATGTACAAGACAGACTCCATCGATGCGAACTTGCTGCACAGTATCAAGTCGAGGACCAAAGATGGAGACGACGACGATTGATGATGTTATTGTTGTCGCAGGGTTGTTGGTGCTGTGATTGAAGATTGGCCCGTTGACAGCTGTTGGTTTCTTGAAATATTGTTGAAGAGTTTACTCGTTCGTGGAGAGTTGTTTGAATGGCGATGTTAGTTGATACATGTAGAGTTGGGGCTCGTTTGCACTTGTAAATGGGAACAGGACGTAATCGTGCCTAGAAAAGACGGTTGACTGCAGTTTGCGACATCAGAAGTGCAGATAGAGAGATGTCAGATTGTGATATCAGCTTCGAAGATAATAGATCAGATGTGAAGGTAAAATATCACACGTAAAGGTGATTTATCAGATGTGAAGTTGGCACACCGCACATGAAGTCATTATACAATTGTTCATTGACCAACATCACGTCAACTCAGGTCTTCGGCCCCATTCCACTTCTTCACACTTCGAGAGAAAAATCTCCACAGAGAGTTCAGGGCCCGCGTCTGCAACAAGGAGTGAGCGCCAGGGGGCGGAAAGAAAACACACAAGCACTGACAGGAGAGGATGGTATGCTCGTACTGCGCCTTCCACAAGAATCTGAACAGCTTCCTTGTCAGCACATGCTTGCTCCTGTTACATCCTTGAACTTCACCTTCCCTAGTAAGTTCTTTCGGGATCGAGTCAAGACTTCTTGTGTACGGCCTATCAATGGTGACATTGTCCCTGTGAACCAGAAGAGTCGATCATGATCATTGCAAACATGAGGCAACAGGATGACAAGGCAGAAAGCATGAGGTAGTTGTCATACAAGACATCAGGGTACAGAACAATCACGTCAAGTGTAGAAGTAGATGACAATGGAATATGAATGAGAGATATGAAAGACAAGATAATAGATGATAACTGATACATGATAACTGATACATGATAACTGATACATGATAACTGATACATGATAACTGATACATGATCAAGTCACTGATAGATGCCAAAGTTGCAAGACAGATACCACAATTCAGCAGATTCATCGACAATCAAGGTTCTCACCTCTCCACTTGTGCTCCATTTTTTCCGACATCCACTGTCAATGCACGGAAACGTTCCTGTTGAACTTGTCAGTTTGATCTTTCAACCACAACGCTCTCGTCTTCTTCCTCCTCCTCCTACCCGTTCAGTAGGCTCTGAGATTGAATGCTTTAGGCCTGCCGGCTACACTTCCCAGTCACACGACACAGCCAGGAGCACATCAGGAGCACAACGCACCTCAGCTTGCTCTGTGGTGACGGAGGACGAGACTGCGTCCCCTCCCCACATGCTGCTCGTCGCCGAGTTCCTCCCGCTCCTTCCCCGAGCTAGGAGCCTCGTGGGAGAAGGCGGTGGGTTGACCCTGGGGAGGGTCTTCAAGTCTGCATGCGAGCGTAAGGAGAGGGGACGTAGGGCAGGAGGAAACAGCACCTTCAATGTTGGCCGATCTTTTCCCCTGCCTTTTCTTCCTCATGATACCTGCGAAGCCCGGGAACGACTTGCGCCTGCTGTTTTCAAACAGCTGCCTGCAGCAAGCGCGTTAGAGGAGCGACGGAGCAGCGCAGGACCCCGACCTCAAGTCCTCTTCGTTTGCCTGCTCGTCCTTCTGGATCAGCCTAACCGGGCTGGCCGACGAGATGGTCGACGCCGGGCTCGTCGAGAGCAGGTTCGTGTCCGAGTACCGCTCGTTCCACTCGAGGAACTCGGCGAATGACATCTTCTTCTTCCCCGGGTTGATCTCTATCATCCTATCCCACATCCGCTCCGCTGCATGCTTACCCATGTCCACAGGACTCTGAAGGTAGGGGTTGACCTCCCCGACTGCACACCTCTCCTCGGAGTCCTCGCTCAGGGTGGCCGAGGAGACTGATGGCGAATGGGGGAAGACCGTTCTTGCTCGCGCCACCATGAGGTTCTGTAGCTGCTCGAAGCACAACCCGAAGCTCTTGTGTTCGTCGAACTCCCTGAACTCCTGCCAGAGGTCGGCGATCTCGCTGCTGGAGAACCTGTGCTTGGAGTTGTTGTACATCGGCATAAAATTCGGGTCGTCCGGATGTTGTCGAGCATCATTCATCTGCTCTTGGTCTACCTGGTTCGCTGAGTTGACCATCCCCAGCAACAAAGAGTACTGCACCGGCGAAGTTGGAAGGGGATCTGAGTCAGAGGCACCAACGGGAAGGATCAAAGGGATAAGAGTAGGAAGGAGGAAGCTGCTGCTCTTGTAGTTGTGATCTCGATGTTCTCCTCCCCTCGCTCTCTTGCTCGTTTTTTCTCCTCCGCTCCTCTTGCCCTCCCTGCTGCCTTGACGGCAAGAGGGTAAAAAAGTAGATTGTAGAATTTTGTGGGGGTGGTGGATATCACGGGGTAGTATAATTGAATCGGTGGTGTATTGAGTACCCATTATTTTCATAGGTGAAAGACAGGTATGTTATGACACTTGCGGAAAAACCTTGGGAAATGAACGGGTAGGGTACCAAAAAGGCAACACAACAAGGGGTGGGTAGTCGAAAGATTTGGTAGTCAGGAGGGATCAATCCTGAGATCGGACGAATTAACGGACCTTATCTTAGCAGCCATGAAAAAGAGGCCTTTCGAATACGAAAAGAATATTTTTCGAAGTATGCTCTTCGCCAACGAAGAGGTCCCGTTAGTTTTTTTCTTCCTGGGGGGGTATGTTTAAGGGGATATTGGAGGGTAGTCTTGAGGAAGATTTCCTTTTCAAGAGGATGTTTTTACAAAGTCTCAAGGGGTAGGGTATTTATGTACGGGGTGACCAAAGATACTATATTCGGATATGGGTGGGGTACTTTTAAGTCAGTGTATATTTAGAGTACGTGATCAGTCATCAATAAAAACAATGTATAATGTACAGTAAAGTTTCTATGTGAGCCTGCCTCAGACAAAGGTTACAAGGAGTCCGCCCCAAGCCCGCCCCGGAGTACCGGTATGAGTCCCATGCGGCGGTTGGAGTATCTATGGAGGGGATGGTGTGGGGGGAGGGAGAGGGGAGCAGGACGCGAAGGTGATGGTGGTGCCGATCATGAGAGGAGGAGGAAGAGAACGAGGAGGAGGAGCGTGTATGAAAGTAGAACAGAGGGGAAGATGAACACAAGGGGCAAGGAGACTGGTGGAGAACGAGGGCGACAGTGCGAATTTGTCATCAAGGTGGACAATGAAGATGAGGCGATGCAAAGACAGGAACTTGAAGTATGCACGATCATCAGGAGTTGAAGAAATTTGAAGAGAGGGTGGAAGATATTATAGGAGACAAGGATTGAGGCGGGGAAGGGAGTAGACATGATGAGCAGCGTGGACGGAATTTATGGAATGGGTGTTGGAGCAGGAGCTGACATGCACTACAGGAAACACAGCATGTCATGATGGCGCGGCGATGCTGGAGGGGTGGTGATCAGGCTACATGTTGCAGACGGGCGGATCAGGTCGATGAAAGATGACGAGCGTAGAATCGTTCCCCCCGTCCTTGCACCTGAGCCGTTGGTGCCCGGCCATGGTACTTACCTCATCCTAACCTTGCTCGTCCTCTGACTGGCTGCTCTACAGTGCAAGAGGAAGGTCATCTTAGTGCAGCAACGACACAAAAAGAGTGTAAGCAAGGAGGGGGAGGGGGGAGGCGGGAGGGGGAACGGTGGGGAGGGTCGGGTAAGGAGAAGGGGAGGTGCGTGCGAGGGAGATTATGCTGAGAGATGAAGGGCGAAGGGAGAGAGGAGAAGGCAGAAGAATGGGAGGAGAGGGTGCAAGGGGATGGTGGGGGGAGGAGGGGGAGAGGAGACAGGAGGGCGGCAGGGATGTTGATCCGTGAAAGCAGGAGAGCTCAGGCAAGGCAGCAGATCACATCAAGGTAGTTGTGCGTGTTCGGCCGTTCTTGGAGGTGAGTCAGTAGTTCGAGGACGACGTGATGGCTGATGGAGGAGACAGCATGAGGACCCGTCGCAGAGTTCGGTCGCTGTGCCCCAGCCCGACCGAGGAGCGTTGCCCTCAACGTTGAAGGTGCAGCGAGACAGGTCGATTGTCTTCGGCAAGTTCGACGCAGTCCTGGGGCCGGAGAGCAAGCAGGCAAGCAGCTGCTCTGAGAGGTCTTGTGCGGGTGATGGAGGTGGAGCAGGAGGACGTGTATCAGCAGGTGCGAGAGTGTGTGGAGGCTGCGATCAGTGGAACCAATGTCTCCATCTTCGCGTACGGACAGGTTAGATGGACGGGCGGTGATGCTTGCTGGGCAAATCCTGCTCTCCGACCTCTCTCACCTTCCTCTGTTTCTCTTCCCTGCTCCTCTCCTGTCATTGGTTTTCTGTCTTCTCGTTCCTCTTTCTCCTCTCTCCTCCTCTCTCCTCCTCTCTCCTCCCCTTTCCACATTCTTCCCTCTCCTCTACTTGGACATTCTCCACCTGATCTTCTACCTCCTGTCTTCCGTTCCCAACCCTCATCGCAACTTTCCCATCGCTCACCTCAGTTGCGCTCCGTTTTCCCTGCACACTTTGACTATGTTGATTAGACCAACGCTGGAAAAACTTACACCATGATGGGTCCTCCCAGCTACTCTTACTCGTCAAGAGCTATTCACCAGAAGACTGTTGAAGAGGATTTTGCGGAGAAGAATTTACCGCTGCGAGGAGTTATTCCTCGGTTCCTGACAGAGCTCTTGGCGTCGACGAGAAGAGACGACATGGTAATGTTATTTGTTGGGGTGTCTTGTTGGTGGATTCGAGAAAGATGAAGATGTAACTATGTTATGTGGAGCTGTTGTTTGTAGTAATGTGAAAGGGTACTGGATGGACGGCATTGCTCTTGAAGCGAATGACTGTCTTGCGTTCGGAATGATTGAATGTTGACAATGATTGCAGGACGTCAAGATCGAAGCGAGTTTCTTACAGGTCGATAGATTGAAACTCGGCGTGTGTAACGACGATGGTGGTGGTGGTGGTGGTGGTGGTGGTGGTGGTGATGATGATGATGATGATGACGATGACGATGACGATGACGATGACGATGACGATGACGATGACGATGACGATGACGACGGTGTTGTTAGTGATCATGCCATCAAGGTTTACAACGAGAGGGTGCTCGATCTCCTCGCGGAGACAGGAGGAAAGCAGCAACAGCAGAAGGCCCTGGAGCTGAGATCGGGAGATCGCGGAGTGGGGGAGATTCAAGTTGTGGGCAACGTGAAGAAGTCTATCAGCAGTCTGTCGGATGTGTTCGGTGAGAGGAGGCGACAAGGAAGGTGAACTTGTGCTGACGGATCGCTGGCAGACATCCTACAGCAGGGAGTCAAGCAGAGGAAGGTGAGGGATTGATGCCCGTCTCCTACTCCTACTCCTACTCCTGCTCCTCCTCCGCCTGCCTGCCTGCCTGCCTGCCTGCCATGCTCCTGCTCTTTTGCGCGTTGAAGCATCGTCGTTCAGGTTTGTGAAACAAGCCACAACGAGCAATCGTCGCGCAGTCACACCATCCTCCAAGTACCTGCGAGTTGCTCCCTCCCCTCCCGCTCACCCCTGCGCTAGTTGATGCTCACCGTCACATCAAGAGGAGGAGGAGACTTAGAACAGACGTCGTCCTCCCTTTCCTCCCGCACAAGCAAGATCTCCCTCGTCGACCTGGCAGGATCGGAGCGATGGAGTCAGAGCGCAGACAGGAAGGAGGCAGTGACCAAGACACATAGAGAGGAGATGAGCAACATCAACCGATCTTTGACGACTCTGGTACCTCCCTGCCCCTGCCCCTGCTGCCCCTGCCCCTGCCCCTGCCTCTGCTGCTGCCGCTGCCTCTGCTCCTGCCCCTGCCTCTGCTCCTGCTCCTGCTCCTGCCTCTGCTGCTGCCCCTGCCTCTGCCCCTGCTCCTGCCTCTGCCCCTCTCTCATCACCTTCCGCAGGGTCGCGTTGTCAAACTTCTCTCGGAGGGGAAGCACGTTGGACTTCCTTTCAGGGAGAGCAAGTTGACGAGATTGCTGCAGGCAGGGAGACTTTGAACCCTTTGTCCCTCCTCGTTCCCTTGCTGCCTTGCCCCTTCCTGCTTACCCATTCCAACCCTTCCCTGCTCCCGCTCCTCCTGGTCGTACGGCTCCTGCTCCTGCTCCTGCTCCTGCTCCTGCTCCTGCTCCTGTCCCCCCTACACCATCACCTCTTCCCCCCTGGCTGTCCAGCACGCTTCCTCCTCCTCCTCCTCCCTCATTTTGCCTAGGACTCAATCGGCGCGAACTGCCTCACGACAATCATCGCTGTCCTCGCGCCTTCTCCTTCCTCTGTCGGTTGTGACCAACTCTTTCCTCTTATCCTCCCTCCTTCAACCCTTCTCCTTTCCTCCTCTTTCCTTTTCCTTTCTCTATCCCTCCGTCATTCCTTCCTACCTTGTTCATTCTCTTCTCTTCAATTCCTCGTCCCCGCTTTTCCTGATTTCTCCTCCTCCTCTCCTCCTCTGATGCCTCACAGACGAGAATATCTCGACGCTCAACTTCGCCCTTCGAGCAAGAAAGGTCGCACTAAATGTCATAGCATCCTCCTCTTCCTCTTCCTCTTCCTCGTCCTCCTTCTCTTCCTCGTCCTCCTTCTCCTCCTTCTCCTCCTCCTTCTCCTCCTCCTCCTTCTCCTCCTCCTCCTCCTCTACAACCACCACCACCACCACCACTTCTACCTCCTCCTGTTTTTCTTTCTCTTTTCCTCCACTTCGTTCTCCTCTCCCTCCTTCCTTTTCTTTTCCTCCTCCTCCTTCACCACCACCACCTTCACCACCACCATCTCGTCCTCGTCCTCCTCTTTCACTATGATTAGTTCGAGTCCCCTCTTGTCTTCTGACGTGATCATCTTCAGGTCCGCGTGCAACAGAATATCGAGGACGCCACCGAACAAGATGCAAGAGACAGGTGAGGACGAGGACGAGGAGGCAGAGGCAGGAGCAGCAGGAGCAGGAGCAGGAGCAGGAGCAGCAGGAGCAAGAGCAACAGGAGTAGGAGGACCAGGACCAGGACCATGAGCAGCAGGAGCAGGAGCAGGACTCTTGGAGAGGAACAGGATGAGTAGGCGTAACAGTAGGACGAGGACAAGGGAAGGGTAGAGGAGGGTGAGGATGAGTTGGAGACGATTCGAGCGATATCATCGGGAGAGGCATTGAGAGGAAGAGAGTCTGGGGGGAGGAGCAAGGAGCATGATGGTGGCGGCAGGGAGTTTCAGTACGTGAAGGAGATCCGGAGACTTCGAAATCTCCTCCTCCGCATGCAGAACGAGCCGACGAGGGTGAGGAGAAGCGGCGACAAGGCAGACAACATGGAGGAGGAGCTGAGAGCGATGCAGATGCTGGCAGAGAAACAAAAGGTCTCCCTCCTCCCTCCTCCCTCCTTCCTTTCCCTTCCTCCTCCTCCTTCCATTATCTCTCCCCCCCCTTCTCGCCTTCCCTCTTCTCCTTCACTACTCTGTCCTTCGCCCTTCCCTCTCTCCCTCCGTCCCTCCTCCTCCTCCTCCGCCTTCATGCAATCTCTCTGGCTGACTTGAATGTGTTCAGGTGGAGATCGGCAGGTTGCGGTCAGCCTTGAAGCTGGCGAGCAAGAGAGGAGCGACGGAGCAGGAGACGCACGAGCTGAAGATTCTGCTGATGAGGGAGAGAGGGGCCAATGAGAAACTGAAGCAGGGTAGGAGCTGCTCCTGGTCCTGCCCCTTCTCGTTCTATCTTCCCTCCCTGTTTCCAACAACTTCCTCCTCCTCCATCATTCAATGTTTCTCCTTTCCCTCCTCTCTAACCCTTCCCCCCTCGTGCCTCCCTGCTGCCCTGACCCTTTCCTCACAGGAATTAGGGACTTCCTGCAAAAGCAGGAGGAGCAGGAGGGAGGGGATCATACCTCAGACAAGACCTTCCAGCCTCCTCCTCCCCCCATCCCCTCTGAGGAGCAGCCGAGTCCCGACAAGGACAGCAGTAGTCTCACTTCATCGGCCTCTCCTCCTCCTCCTCCTTCCCCCCCCCCTCCCTTCTCACGCCCTGCCCCTGCTCCGGCACCAGCCAGGCATCCTGTACCCGCCCCAGATCTTCACGAAGCTCCTCCTCCTCCTCCCCCCGAGCCGTGTCTCCTCCTGCTCCTCCTGCTCCTCCTGCTTCTCGTCCCTCTGCTAGAAACGCCACGGTGCTGTCTCACCGTCTCTCTCCTTCCTGACGTCTCTCCCTCCCAGTCTTCTTCTGCTACTTTTGCCCCGACGCGCAAACAGACGTATCGAACTCCGTACAGCGAGCCCCAGGTGTGAGGAAGGGAGAGGAAGGGAGGGGAGGAGAGGGGAGGAGAGGGTTGGAGGGGAAGGGAGGGGAGGGTTGGAGGGGAAGGGAGGGGAGGGGAGGGGAAGGGAGGGGAGGGGAGGGTTAGAGGGGAAGGTGGGGGGCGAGGAGGGGAAGGGGTGGGGGGAGGGTTGGAGGGGAGAAGGCAGGAAGTTGAATCATCCAAGGTGCTGGAGGGAGAATCATCGCAGACTTCAGCAAGCAAAGTGAACAAGTTGGTACAACGACGTGCAGGTGAGGCAGGGAGGCAGGGAGGCAGAGGGAGGCAGGGAGGCAGGGAAGGGTGAGGAGATTGATCTTACGATTCAGCTGCTCTCGGTCTAGCCGCTGGACCATCAGTTCGTCTTATCAGGTGACTGTTCCTGTCCTCATACCAATGTTGTCATTCCTTTCCTTTCCCATTCTCTTCTCGTCTTCTCTCGTCTTCTCTTCCTCTCCTCTCCCTCTTCTCTCCCTCTCCTCTCCCTCTCCTCCTCCTTCTCACGCGCTCTCCGCATCAGCAACAACCCCAACCTGTGGTACTCCTCCAAGGTAGGAAAGTCGCTGTTAGCGCCCATCTCTCACCAGGTGCAGGACCATCGTCGCCGTCCGATCTCCCTGCCCATCACTCCCCGCGAGATCCCTTCCTCCGCCAGACCGACGAGGTGAGGGAGCAGGGAAGAGCGTCAGAGGGAAGCAAGGGAAAGAGCAAGGCAGATGGGAAGGCAGGAAAAAGGGAGCGAGCAGGCGCACGAGCAGGGGCAGGGGCAGGGGCAGGGGCAGGAAGGCGAGCTTGAGGGGAGGAGACGTAGATTGAGCGACCTGCAGACCTCCGTCCGTTCCATCCTCGCGGTACAAGCAGCAGGAGCCTCAAACTCCCCATCCTCCTCCGTTCTTGTCGAGCAGAACAGAGCGAGTGCCGCACACTCCCAGAGCCAAGATGTTCCAGCCCTACCCCCCCGCAGGGTGCGTGAGGTGTGAGAGAGTAGCGTGAGGTGACGAGGATGTTGTAGCTTCCCTGGGGAGACGAGAAGGACTAAGCACGTGTGGCTGCCTCCTGCCGACCCGCTCGACCAGCCACAGCAAGACGCTGGTCTTGCTCCTTGCCCCCTCTCACTCCCTGCCCCCTGCCCCCTGCTCCCAGCTCCCTGCTCCCAGCTCCCAGCTCCCTCCGCCCTTCTCCTTCCTCCTTCCTTCCTGCCCCACCATCCCTGATGTGATGAACAGAGACGGCTCGAAGAGCAGTTGTAGCTCGAGACGCAGAGTAAGGAGTTCGCCTCCAGCTGCTCTGATGCGCTGACACCCACCCAGGGCCCTGAGCTCTCAGTTGTTGAGGAAGTCGACCGACGAGCTTGCAAAGGTTAGCGGCGGAGATGGTAGGGACCACATAGTGATGTGGCAGCAGGTGAAACAAGAGCTTTTCATGCTCATCTCATCAGTCAAGAACGGAACGTGCAACATCCAACTGCAGGGTATCTCATCTTACCAACATCTCTCTCCTTGTCTCGTGCTCCGCGCTTCCCCCATCTCCTCCATGATCAAACTGCTCCCACACTAACTAGCACGCCAGATGTCCGCAAGCAAGTGCAGGAGCTGAGAGATAGGATCTGCCAGCTAGAACAAGACGACAAGGCAGAAACTACAAGAGGTCACAGAAACTCTTTAATTTAAGTTGAGAGGTTTGAGAGAATGAACATGTTCAACTGTCGTCAGCGGCTCCCCTCTGATGACACGTTTATAAACAAGAAGCACCAGCAGGTCCGATCCCACGTCATGCCGACAACCTGAACGAAACGTGAGCTCCTCCTCCTGACCTCCTTCCACCTCCTTACCGGAACAAGCTTGCAAAGGGTGCAGAAACAGACTCCGCACGCTGATTGTGCGATTCGCCGAGCGAGAGAGGGTTCATATCAGACACCAAGTTGTAACCCGAGCGAACATGCTGCCGGTACAGTCAGCCTTTACGACGCAGAAAGCATGTGAGTGACGAGAGGACAAAGGAGAGAGGGCCGGTGGGAGGGAAGGGAGTAAGGAACTGCGTTGAATACCTGTGGTACAAGAGGAGGAGTCTCAAGAATAGAAGCGACAGAGCCAGGCGGCTTGTAAGGCTTGCTGGCTTGAGCAGGAGCGGAGGACGAGGTATTGACAGCAGGGGCAGAGGGAGCGTTCACCGGCCACGCCAGCTTAGGCTGAACACAAGGAGACTGCTCGGGAGCAAGTGAGAAGACTCAAGGAACGATAGGGTAGGACTCACCCTGTTGGATGGAGAGTCTTGACTCTTGGCATTCCATGAATGCTTCTCCACCTTCTTAGGTACCTCTGACAGATCCTTGTTAGCCTCATGTTGAAAGCTCGGGTTTGCCAGTGACGTCGGCACAAGAGGAGGCTTCTGGGAACAAAGCTTGTCACCCTCTACAACCTGCACCAGGAAGCACCTCTCACCTTATCGGAGCTCACCTCCGACGATCCAAAGGCCACTTTGCACAGCAATTCCAGGTGCTGGGCATCCCCCCGGACGTCCCCAGTGCGCGAGAGCTTCGGAGCAGGAGGAGTAGGGTGCGACGATGACGAATCCTCACTCTCATCCTCCGAATCACTCCCACGTTTCCGCGTGAGCCTCTCCCCTCCCCTCCCTGCTGGACCAGGCTTCCACCTACCAGTGACACAGGTCAGCTCACCGACCAGCGCTAGATCACGAGTCAGTGCCTGGAGAAGTCTTCCAGAAGAGCGATGGAGGCATTCGTTTGCTCTGGGGTCATGCTCGACCACAACTTTTTCAGCTCAGCCAAGTCCCTTGCAATGCTGGGATCCCTCCAGCGCCCCCTCAGGAAGTGCCTTCTCTGCTGCGCAAGGTTTGCCTCGAGAGCACCAGGGTTGCCGTTCCTCGCCGGCTTTCTCATCCCTTCCTCGAAGTACTCGAGACAAATCTTGTTGAAAGCTGCCCTTGAAACCCCGTCAGTGGCAGAGCCTCCGTCTTTCTTCTTCGAGAACTGCCCGACAGGTCAGCCTGGGAGCACAGCACTTATGACATCAACGAATCTCACCTGGGGAAAAACTCTGCAAAACCCAGAGAAGGGGGAGAAGGTGTCATTCTTGGGGAGAATGTGATCCTGGCTGTCGGTCCTCTCGATGAAACCCTCTAGGAAGAACCTTGCTGCCCGCATGGCCTCGTCACTTGTGGGCCTCCTTGGCATCTGCTCAAACAGTGTAAGAGAGAACGCCCCCAAGGCAATGGCGGTATCATGTGCGCTTGTTACTTCGTTGCGATCAGCGTCATGTCTACTCGTGTCAGCATAGCTATTCCTGACAACCCTATCCTCAGCTTGGTACAAATACGTGACGAACCGCACTAAAGAGCCTCTTCTGAGGCAAAGAAGGACGGAAAATCTCATGAATCGACAGTAATGGACTAGATCAATGCATTCAAAATCTGTTCTGCTGGTGTTCTACCAAATAATCAACCCTTGATTCCAACTTCAGCATCCCAAAAACATCAACTACAAAATATGATCCTGAGTTAAGCATGGCTTGAAGACAGGCACCGGGAGCTTTCATCGAGTCTTCTCGTCCCCATGGTATTCAGAAGGTATTCAGACACATAGGGACTTGTCGCTTGATCACTGAATGAGCCATATCTCTCCCCTGCCCCTCCATCTTCATTTCTAGCGCCTGCGCGCTCCATGCACGGGTTTGGCGCGTGGGAGATGACCCCCCTCTGTATCTCCGTTCGTATTTCAGACAGGGTAGGGTGAAGCAAACAGCAGGTGGGTGGTACTAGAATGCAAATGAAGCGGCCACTATGACTCTTTTAGATAAGGGAAAACCTATGGAATCACGCAACTCTATCGAAATTTAAAGAGGCATCAATTTGTTTTGAGGGTAGGGTAGTGGAGAGGGGGTGATGTTTCGAGTGCATACGGTGGGGGTCCAATCACATGAATCGGGAGGGGATGCATGGGATCCTCTCATGATGACAGGGTGGGGTAGTATGGTGGTGGGTACTAGGGGTGGTCCAAGTGACCGGGTGGTCAGTCTCATGAATTCTTGGGACTTTGAGGGGTGGGGTAAACAAGAATCAGTCCAATAGAGGGTACTGCAGTCTAGAATGAGGGGTTATGGTAGTTTCATAGGTGGTAGTTGAGGCGTAGCGGAAAAATGAGGGGTAGGGTGGTTTTAGCAGGTACCAATGAAAGGGTAGGGTAGTGCAAAAAGAAAAGAGCTAATGGAAAACGATAAAGAATCGTGGGTACGGGTGGTCCCGAAACGGGATTCGAGGCCCAGTACGGGTACTTTATAATGCATATTCATCGTATTTTATAGGGTGGGTGGAGATTTTGTCGAAGGGGTCCAACGCGTTCTCTTTGTTATGTGTCGACGTTGTTATAAAAGGACCTCACCCCCTGGCCCACATCCACCCACCCTACCCACCCTCATGAGGCATGAGTAGACATAACAGCACGGGTGGTCAAAATTCAAAAAACAAGCTCGAGATGTCTTGATCAAGTGGGAAGGGTGGCAGTGTCAGAAAAGATGGTAATGAACGGGGTACTTTGAGTGTATTGATGGGGGTACAGATGAGTCCAGATGGATTTGGGTGCGTGGGGGTAGCAGGTCAGACATTCAAGAATGGGACCTCGGCTACCAAAGTAGGTAGGGGGTGTCACTGGGTAGGTGAAACTGAGAAGGGGGAAGGAGGGGTCCACGATGATAGAGATTCAATTGAGTTTCTTGGACCGGAGGGTGGGGGGGAAAGGGAGGTCAATGGGGGGTACATCGTCGCTGGAGGGGTAGGGGTAGGGAGCTCGTGCGAAGTCCAAGATTTGTAGTTGAGGGCTGCACGAGCTTGGCAAGGCGCAATTGAAGTTGGCGATGGGGTTCCCAAATTCATAAAAATGTATCAAATATTCCAAGAAACTTTGAAGTTGAAAGAACTAATTTAGTAAGATATTTGAAGATGTAACTCGGGTACAGTTGGGGTACCAGTACTGCCAGCGAAGCAAATAAGCGAAAGAACTTGTTTTCAAGTATGATTTACAAACATGATTTGCTTCATTTTGAGGGTTCCGAATACAAATCAGAGTTATTCAAGTAACTTTCGAGGCTTTCAGCGCAATTTGGGCTCATTTATTTCAAAATGGAATCAGTATTCGACAAAGGGAATTTTCTGGAAATCAACGCCATCTTTCAGATGCAACCCGCCACACTGCCGTATGCCCCTTTACTTGGGCAGTGACCGACGGCCTTGCACTCTTCCAAAGGGACCCCACTGAGTTGGACAGTCAAGTTCAAAGTTTCATCGGGCCGCCCCGGCCGCGGCGGGCCCGGATCCGATCCTTGCCAGTGCCCGGCGGCGGCCCGGGCCCAGCCCGGCCCGCGGCTCTGAGAGTCTACCGTACGACGGTCGGCCCGGAGCGGCTTCAAAAGGGTCAAGCCTCCTCGACTCTCCTGATTGTCCTCGTACTGATCTTTAACTTAACTGAAAGTTTGAGGCCCTAAGATTGAACTTTGACCGGGTCCGAGGCCCGGCAGCCTGTGTCGCCGGCGTCCGACCGTCGGATCGGACGGTGCCGTGGGCCGCGGTTTGGCCCGCGGCTGCCGCAGTGACTCACGGTGTCAAACTGCCATCCGTGACTCAGTGACGCCGCCGTCCGACTGAGGCGAGTCACGGCCACCGTCCGGGCTGCCGCTGGGCCCGACCGCACTTTCCCCGCCCGGCCGGGCCGCCGCGACAGGCTGCGGCCGCCGGGCCCCGCCACAGCGGCCAGGCCGCCGGCCCTCGGCCGGGCTCGGCCGCCCGGCCGGGCGGTGCCCGGAGGGGACCCAACATAATGAGGCTGCTTGGGGCAATTTGACGCTATGAAATTGAAGTTTCTAATTATCTGATTAAATTTGAAAATTGAGATCAATACACACAAAGAGCCAATCCCCGATCTGACGAAAGTTATATATAATTTAACTTTAAAATGACCATTTACGTATATAATACTAATGAAACTACACCGTTTCCCTCACAAGTCTACACCTTTTTAAAATTGCAAACGTTGTTGAAACTCATCGTTTCCCGGAACACCCTTGGCTTTGCCACTCAGGGTTTCTTCCTTCCCTTCCGTAGCCGACCTGTTATCTATTTGGAGTATTAGGAAATTTCTCATATCCCATCATCCTCTTGCTTGCTACACTGCTCCGGCCCCAGTGCCCGCCGAGGCTGCCCTCTGCGGCCCTACCCCTTCTGCATTTCTTCCTTAAGAGCTCTATATTCAACAGGCTCCCGTTCGAGCCCTACAGAGTTTTGAGGGATCTTGTGATTCCCACCCCCCTTCCTCGTGACGGTCAAGTCACGTTCAATTTTTTCGTTTTAGATTATTTTTAAATTTGAGATTTCTATTACGCGAATCCGACCCCAGTAATTATTTAATGCTGCCCCACCCCAAAAATTCAGAGTACCCCATGAGCTTAGTACCCACCATACTTATTCTCTGTTGTTGTGGCATTTTATCAGAGATTTCAACCGGTCCAATTGTCACCCTACCCTCACAAAATACAGATGTACGACAGACCTGACAGCGCTTTCAACACCCCTTTTCATGCGGTTGAACTGTAGGGTAGGGTCCTCCTGATCGAATTTTCTTCAGGTACAAGGCACGCCATTTTTCTATAGACTGACTACCCCACCTTAGACAGCATTTTACATGACAAATGTACCCGTGGTCAAGCACCCCTGCTGTGTATTCAAAAACAATTGTTACCCCTACCACCTACTGAGGGACTACCCCCATCACAGCACAAGGAGAAGAAGCAAAGCCGAACACTGGACGCCAAGAAGTTGATCGTCAGAATATCCCTTGAAGCACATATAGAATCATACCTCTTGTGCCCCGCAAACCAGTGCTTGGACTTCAGGACCCTACCCAACCCCAAATTGTTTCGAAATGCTGTTCTTTCGTCACCACTGGGGTGCAATTTAAAATAATATAATAATGTATATGTTTGTATGAGTCCTTACAACTATATATATCGTGGTGTTAAAAAAGGGTTTTTGATGTACGTTCAAAATTTCAACGTAGAGGTGCTTCCAAACGTATTTGGCGAGAGATTTTCAAGCTCTTAGCAAACTCTTCACAATTTGTTTTCAAATATTTCAAACATTACCTGTTGAATTTGGGATCCCAATCGCCCGAGACAAAAACAATAGTAGAACAGGTATTTAAAACACATTTTCATGACTAAAACGTCTTTTAGTAGTGACCCAGCCCCCCACTCGGACCTCACATTCCTCGTGCCCTGCACTTCCCATCCTCCTGCTCTTTCCCTCCCCACAACTCCCTTCGTCGCTCTTCTTCGCTGCTCTGCCACTTTTCCACCTTTCTGAGGATCCTGCCTTGTGTTGCCATCTAAATCTTCAACATTGACATTGAACTTGAATCACATCCCCATTGTTTATTCGACTTTGTTCCTGAAGAATCGCTTACTGAATATTCACTTTGAGTAATTCACGACACGGAGTTCAGTAACACACAGAGACATTGCCAGACTGTCAATCTGGTAATATTGAATAACCTGTTGACATCCTCGTAAGGAAAGAAATTCATATTTATCATTGCTGAAATTTACCCACACATCAAGAAAAGTTGACGGCCAACATGATAGCGAGACTTTTCGTTCAGAGTGTCCTAGTGTTGTCTACACTTCAATGCGTATCATGCTTCGCTCCTCATATTTGGATGAAATCTGGCAAGGGAAGCACGGAATCAGGAAGCAGAACAATTGTGCCAGGCAGGACCAGGCAAGTTGTAATTCAGAAGACAACCCCCACTTACCTCCAGACTCCTCCTCCTCTTCCCCCCCTCTCAGCAAGATTGATGGGTTTGGAGAAGGAGGAACTGGACAACCAGAAGATGGCATGGCAGCTTGACCCTGACTGCCCCGTCAGGAGGAAGGCAAGGTCGAATCGTGCCAAGGCTGTTCGTTCAAGAAAGTCTCAGCTGAGGTCCAAGAAAGCTGCCAAGGACACGCACAATACTGACGCTCTGTCCATGGGTCTGCTGTATGTGTCTTGGGCGCTCAGGGCAGGGGCAGCGGTTTCTATGATGACGGTGGGACTCCTGGCGCTGAGGGCAGCGGGGATGATGGCTCTGAGGTTTTTTGGGATTTTCTCGGCGTCGTTGGTGTTTGGGATCATCGGGTTGATAGGGTTATTCAACTCATTGCGCAAGGATTCCAATGTTGAAGTGAAGAAGGGGAAGGATCAGCTGACGGACGTGGCTAACGACCATCACCCTGGCTCCTTCTGCATGTAAATTTCTATGTTTGATGACGTTGTCACTTTTCCATTCTTTCTCCTGTAGTTTATCCAATGAAAAGACTCTTGTGAAACAATTGGGTCGTCTCGACATTAGCTTGCACCTTGTCATTCTTTCTTCTCCTCCAAAAGATCGTTGGAGACCTGAAGCGAGAAGTTGTAACTAATTGGTGATAAGACGAAGGTTTCTTACAGTGTTTTCTGGGGGAGTCAGGCTGACGATTTGCTTGCTTTTCTTGAGAGACAATGCTACCAAGGGAAGATTTGTGCTGATGATTGTTCCGAAAGTTCGCATCCTAGATGATGTTGGCTTCTTGTTTGTGTTCTCTTTGTCTTGAGTGTTTTGATCTTCGTTGTCTTCGTCAATTAACACCTGATAAAACCAAGTCATCAATCCCTTGGTGTTATCCTGACCACCAATCTTTGAATTTGAGGTTGAAGTCGTGGCTTAAGTCTAATACTACATCTTTGTGCACATTGACAGATGAACCCTCACAAAAGTCCTATCTGTAGTTGTCATGTCGAAACATGACAAAATGCAGCAAACAGGAAGTATCTCACTAAAAAATGATTTTGATTGACAATCGTTTGGGAGCAGCATTCTTACACATTGTGAGGAAAGCAGATCGCAATCTAACTGTCCGCGAGTCCGATACCAACCGCACCACTGGCCGGGCCATCGTCCGTATTGTTTAACTGCTTTTCAATCGTCTGACTGACCGTCTATTATTAGAAAGGTCACCATCTGCCTTACAGTGATACGTATGTGTGGTCCTGTTGTGTCAATCAGAACCCTGCAAGGTTCATCTCGATCGTTCTCAGCGGCAGAATTACCAACCATGAACATGATCATCATTCTGCTCCCACATGTATAATCCGATGATGACTTCTATCACTCTGGAACCCTCTGCTCTTGCTAGCACTTCAGGTCGGAACGCTGTCTACAACTTGACTCGTTGCCGCCACCAGACTGAGACAACCTGTGGCCCCCGTTCTACCCGGCGGTGCCTTCGGCAGGCTACTATAAGTCACTACTGAGGCTTGTCACAGTCACGTGAGACGTTCTGATCCGATCAGATCGGAGTGCCGGTCTGGATGCCCTCAGGATGCCTGCTCGCCTAACGTGACTCGTTCGGGCCTGCTACTCACAAGACGGTGCGGTCCGCTCGTGCTGACACTACTTGAACTGATGACGATGATGAAGGGAGAGTGAACGTTTCAAGTTTCACGTTACTGTTACCTTGTGCGTCTTATGTCTCTGCGCCTTCTTGGCCGTCTCCAGCATCCCTGGCGCCAGCGCCCACATATCGGCGGGTCAAGGGCGAGTTAAAAGCTAGATTTTCAAACTTGACTCAAGTGACTGAGATTTCACTGTCACCGGACGGTCGTACTGATTTTTAACTTAACTTTGAGTAAACTTGAAGACCGGCCGGGCGGCCGGCTCCCAGGCCGTCCCTCGCCGGAGTCGGAGAGAGTCAGCCTAGACTTTTACTCAACTTAAGTTAAGGTAAAAATCAGTACTATGGACAATCCGGCCCGGGCCGATGATCGGACTGTCGGACCGTACAGTGAGCCTGAGCCTCAGGAGAGTCACTGAGACTCAAAGCCGAGTCTGACGGCCGGGCGAGTCGCAGGGCCCTCACTGACTGAGTACGGTCTGTCACAGTGTGCCACGGTCCCGGGCCCAAACTAGTATGCCATCGCCGATCGGATAAACCCGCCGGGTCTCGTTGCTTCGGACAACTTCGGATCTTAGATCCGTGGCAGCGAGAGGTAGTAGGGGAATTGCTGCAGTGCCTGCGGCGATTCTGACAGTGCCCCCGGGCCCTGACTCAAACCTGGTTGGCGACCGTCTTCAGTGAGGGCCAGCCTGGCACCTGCGACCGTACATTCTCAGACTGCCTGATGATCACAAAAAGCGATACATTGACCTCATCTTGAAGCCGATCGCGCTGGGAATCCCTTCGGGAGCTTTCCTCGAGGAATACACCAGAGGGGGGCGATTCATTGCTACTGCCAATTCAGCGGAACTTGAAAGGGCGGAATCCGACCTATTGTGATAGGTGACCTGAAGCGAATGATTGTGTCTAGCATCTTTTGTTGTTTCTATCGAAAATCTTTGGAGAGCCACTTTACCCTCAGTCTCTCTCGGGTCCTGCAATTTTGCGTGTATATAAATCATTACGAGGACAATCAGGAGAGTCGAGGAGCCTTGACCCTGACACTGTCGCACAGGCCATACGGCGAGAAGAGAAGAGAGTGAGAACCAACCCTCACTGGGCGCCGCGGCCATGATCATACCATGGCAGTGGGGCGGAGCACTCAGTTGAATCCTCAGTCATAACTCAGGCCACGTTGAGGCTTAACCTAGTTAGGCGGCTCACACAGGCTGCCCGGATGTTCAAATTGCTGTTATGGTGAACCACCGACCGTGGCAGCTTTCAGCAAAAATTAATGAAATGAGAGTCCATGTCATATGTGTATTAAGAAAAAAAGGTTCACTGCAAAATCCTGGAATGAACATCTTTGAGGAAGGGGCCAAAGTCCAGGCCTTATGAAGAATAGGTTTACTGGAAAATCTTGAAAAGAAAATTGCGAACTGCAAGTTCGAATTAACATGAGGTCTCTCTAAGTTGTCTGATCGTGACATGCAGTACGGGACTCATGAAACTACTACACCAATTCTAGACAAGCAAAGAGTATATACAATCATGTCGTTGGCCAACGTGTCGAATATACGTACATGAGTAAGGTTGGCAGCTTTGCTCTGACTTTGAAAGTTGATTATTGATCAATTAGAAGCAGGATTATTTTGTGGTCACAGAAAATAAACGAACCATACACTCTGTGTTCACTGTGGTTATAGCCATGAGTGTTCGATCACTTCGTCGTAAATCTCATCATGGAAGAATGAGCGAGGGCTCCAGCGACGTATTGCTTCACTGTCAAGGAAGGATTCCGAGCTCGATGAATCGTCTGTTCCACAGTTTGACGTGGATGAATTTGACTGACTGCTGGTTTCACAATCCTCAGATGAGGGAGAAGACCGCGGGATCTTGCTAGGCTTTCTGCTGTCGGTCCAGTTGTTTAGCCCAACAAACTTGCATACATTCTTGAGAGCTGTGAGTGAGATGTCTAATTTTGCTGCAGCCTCTCTCTGGCTGTACTGAAGGTATTGTTCAAGAGTCTCCTTGTCGAGTGTGATTGGTTGCCTATTGTTCCTCTCTTCGTTTTTCCTTTTCCTTGGAATCACAGTTATCTGAAGGGGGGGAGGGTTCTGCATTCTTGATTCCGTTTGTGCGGTGGCTGCTGGTACAGATGTACGTTGATTTGCCTCTTATGAGATATGAACTTGCATGCACCAGGGGTTGAGAACAGCCAAATTTCTGCACTGAGAGCAATCTGGAAGCGGAGAAATAAAGGTTGAGCAACAAGCTCCAAGAACCAAAGGGAATGAAGTAACGCAGTGAGAGCAGCGGGATTATCAAATTCTGAGATTGTAAACGGCCTTGTGTGCGAAGAAGCACAGGCCGAGGTTGGGAAAGTGCACACAGAACACAACAAGCAAGTTAGAAAATCAGTGGAGTAGGGCGGGGGGGAGGAGGGAGGAGGGAGGAGGGAGGAGGGGAGGAGGGAAGGAGGAGGGAGGGAGGGGGAGATATAAATGTATAAATGTGTACAAGGCGAGGTAGCGATGAGATTGCGACAGTCGAAACGAGAACCACAGCAAGAAGGTTTTTGAAGCCTAGGTTTCCTCTATCAAGGGGGGGTCCTGAGGCAGCTGTATGAACTGGGGGGTCCTGAGGCCGCTTCGTATAAACTATTTTAATCAGGGCATGGTTGTTTATGGTTCGACGTGTCCAGTGGGGGTAGGGTAGTTCACCACCATTCACCACCATGGACTTCCCTAGGATTGAATGGGTGGGGGTGCTGGGGACGAATTATTTCTAGTGAGGGCGCTTGGGAAGGGGTGGGGGCAGGGGAGAGTTGCTTGATGAAATCACTCGTTTTCGCCGGGCTGATTAATAATATCTCCAATCAATTTGATTCCCATAATTTGAAATTTCATCTTTAACTTTGAATATTGAAAGATATTTTTGAAATGACAGCCGAATGACAAAACTTCGCATCGTTTCACTGGGGCTATGTCATCAGTCCTCTAACGGCAACCGTTGAAAAGTTCAACGGTGCGGAGAAAGGCCGGCCCCCCGCCCCGGCGGCCCGCCCGGGCCCGGCCCGCCCGGCGGTCCGGGTCGATTCCGAAGTTCCCGGCAGTCCGCTCCGGGAGCCCGCCGGTCGATGATTCCGGAGCCCGGCGGGCCGCCGTTCACCGGGGTGCCTATTCCGAAGATCCGGGCCGGGCCCGCCGCCGTAAACCCACTGGCAGCGCCGGGAAACACCGCCCGGGGTCAAGGCGGAGTCCGGAGTCCGGCCCGGCCGGCCCGGGCAGGCCCCGCCCGGCCGGCCCCCGCAGGGGCGTCACGGCGTGGTCAGGCTCTCGAGTCCGGGCCGGGCCCGGCGCGACTCCATGGACTCCATTAACTTAACTTTGAGTCATGGACGGTCGGACCCAGTGCCGCAGGAGTGACTCGCCCGGCCAGTACAGACGTTCGGACGGCGGGCCCGGGCCGGGCCACGCGGCAGTGTCAGGCAGCAGGCCACTGAGCAGAGGCCCGGGCCAGGCACTGCAGCTGGCCCGGGCCAGGCAGCCCCAGTAAAAGTGAGGGGATGAGGGCGTAAGCTGGTCCGCTAGGACATGGGATCAGTTATGCTGATGATGCGACAAGTTTCATGACATGATTCGAACCTGTTTGCAAAACTATCTTACCATCATCTTACTGATTTCACTCATCTCACTCATCTTACTCATCTTACTCATCTTACCATCATCTTACTCATCTTACTTATCTCATACTTTTCCACCAGTCTCAGTCTATCTCCTTTGCAGCCTTGGTTGAGGGTGCATTGATGGAAGTCGAGTTGATGGCTGTCATTGGAGATGATGCTTTTTGGAAGGCAGACGATGGCAACGAAAGTAGGCGGGTAATGGTTGTCATGACAATGATGACGGTAATGATGTCTTTGAGCGAAAGACATCGAGAAGGAATAGGGATTAATGGTGGGGTTCATTCAGATGTAGGCAGAGGAGGAGATTATGGTTATCAAAAGGCAACAATGCGATGGGTGCAGGATGCAGAGATGGTGGATATTTGAGAGGCAGCTGATGAAGAGCGCGAGGGTTGTTTCTGTGTAGCGCAGCGTTCGGTGCGTGCATGAAAGATATGCTGTTAACACTTGAGCTGAGCCTTTGCTGCCGGGTCATATAGCAGCTGCTTTACAGCTTCAACCGTCTTGTGGCTGCGACCATGACAGCAGTAGAAACTTGAGGGTTGTCGATAGCAATGTAGCTTCAGAGAGGGTTGAATGGATTGAGGAGGCTGGAAGAGCAAGATTGCTGGTGCGGAGTGAGGATCAGTTACGTATCCAGGCACAGATGTTGCTCTGCATCGTGTCAGGAAAGCTGCTGTGGCATGCTGATGTGCTTTTGTTCTGCAGCAGCAGGAGTGACTCGCTGCATCATGGGCGACATGGAGCGGTTTGTCGAGATGACTGGCGCCTCCGAGGACGTGGCAAAGTTCTACATTGAAAGGTAAGGAGATACTGTACTGTGCCGTGAAAGCCCTTGGGCTCCTTCGATTGTCGACCGTCCTCCTCTGTGCTCCACGTTGCTCGACTGCTCTCCGACTGCCCGACACACCTTGACCTTACGTCGCAGTGCCAAGGGGGACGTCGAGAAGGCACTGGACGCATACTTCGAGTCGGGAGGTTGGACCCCTCCTCCATGCTGATGCGTCCCATTCCTGTGTGACCGCGGGCGCAGGAGCAGCTGACGTCGTTCCCCACCAGCCAGAGCCAGAGACGGGTGTGCCTGCTGCCCATGACCAGGGCAGTGCGACCAAGGAAGTGAGGCACGTGCAGGAGCTGACGATGGGGAGGACGATGTTGACCATGACGTTCCTGCTGGGGCTGAAGCCGGGCCGGCATCGCTGGATGATCTCACCAAGAGGTGATCGCAAGCTTGCAAGAGCGCCTTCACTGACTTTTAGTGCCTCCAGCATGTTCGAGAAAGCTGAGAAGTCCGAGACGCAGGCCCCCGACGGCGAGCCCAGCACCAAGAAGCGATCGTTCGTGTAAGAACGCGGCTGAACGCTGCTGTTTGTCCTCCAGCTGTCCTGGTGTTGTGATCCTTGTTGGATAGCGGGAAGGGCTTCATGCTCGGAAAGGAGGCCGAGGCTCCCAGCAAAGAGGTCGCTCAGGATACTCCGGTGGAGCCAAAGAACCACAAGGCAGCCTTGTTGAGTCAGCCCGTGCCATGACGTGTAACGATGGCGCAGGTGACGGTCTGGAAGGGAAATGCATTCCAGCTCAACGACGGGCCTGTCCGGTGACCGATGGCAGCTCGATAAAGCGCTCAGCGGCTGAGTGTCTTGCAGCTATCCTGACCAAGGGTCCAACCAAGAGGTCAACCGGAGGTGACGGCAAGTAGGAGGAGGAAGCCTCAGGCGTGAGCATAAGACAGGTTCATGCAAGACCTCGCTCGCAACATCGTTCCTGAGGAGCTGCGGGAACGGGCCAGCAATGTCAGTGGAGATTCCATGCTGTGAGGAAGAAGGCAGGCTGACTAGGTAGAAGGGCACACCCATTCCCGTGACGATCGCCCTGTCCGACCACAGGGAGGAAGATCCGAGCAACGCCAAGGTCGCTCTGACCCTTGATGGATGCCGTTGAAGTGGATCAGGTGGTGAAGCCGAAGTTCGAAGCGTTCAGGGGAGGAGGAAACGTCCTCGGAAAGGTGGCGATGGGGCTGTGAGCCTGGATCCTACGAGTGAGCTGGGTGCAGGACTGGACGGACGATGCATACAAAGCTGTCAAGACTGCGTCTGTGACCAGCCAACCAGCAGCTCGGAGTGTAAGATAGGAGGAGAGGAGGAGTTCCTACATTCAACTGCCTGCAGAGCCTGGAGGCTCCCCAGGTGGATCAGGGCAAACCGACAACCACCATCCAGGTACCGTGCTCTTTCCCCTCCCACAATCTTTCGCTCATCCCTTGCCCCTTTCTCTCTTACCCCCTTTCTCCCTCTCTCTCTCGTTCCTCTCAATTCTTCGTCATTCAGGTTCGTTTGCCCGACGGACAACGCGCAAGTGCTGTTCTAAACCTCCAAGTTGGACTTTTCTTTCGTACCCAACACCATGTCAAGATGACTTGCAGATGACTGTTGGGGACCTTCGCCGCTGGATAGAAGCTCACCATGGCATCTCTTCGTTCCAGATCAGCGCAGGTCTTGCTCCGCGTGTCCTCTCCTCCCTCCTCACCATCCTCCAGGGTTTCCTCCTCAGGTGCTCGTGGACGAGAAGTGCACTGTCAAGGGTGAGCTGCTTCCCTTGCTCGAGCCAAGCATGACATGCGCCTGTAGACGCGGGGCTGGCCAACGCGTGCGCTACCATTAAGCTTGTGTAAATATTTGCAAGGAGAAACAAGAGCGCTGAGGAGCTCAGCTGGAGCTGGTGCAGCATGTGTAGCTTGTTAATACCAGGCCTTCTTAGCGTCGCGTGCGTCCTTCATGTTGAGGGGGGTCCCTGCCACAGCGTCACTGACCGTCTAGTTCAGCTCTAGACTTCACGTCCGGGGCGGAGGAGGTGCCGATCCTCAGACTCCGACTTGGCGTCAGCGACCGGGTCTCGTACCTGCGGCGTCTCGTCACAACATGTCAAGCAAGCTTCTCCCCCTCACCCCATAGAAATCCGCTCGCAGCCCGACATTCCAAAACTGCGTCACCTGCAAACATCATCAGCTTTCTGCCGCATGCTCAGGCTGCTCCGCAACCTCGCCCGTCGTCGTTCCTGTGTCTGGTCGCTTCTGGTCCTGCATGTACCTACATCAGCAGCTCAGTAAGGAGTGCGAGGGAGGTGCTCGGCAGGACCTTGGAAGCATGTCGGGTGTCTTTGACTTGGATCTGCAGGGAGCGGGAGTCAGGGCAGGAGGAGGCACTGAAGCTCCAGCGACCTCTCGCCAGATATCGGCGAGCTGCTCTGACGTTTCGACAGCGAGGGAGGGCGAGACCTTGGCATCTCCTCGCCTTCTGCTTGTCAAACCCCTCCGTCAGCCCAGCACTTCCCCCGGCACCTGCACCTGCGTCCCAGTCGTGCTCTTGTGGGGTCAACGCTCCCTGACACGAGCGGGTTAGCACGAAGGCAGGTGAATGACGAGAAGCACCACGGGAGAGTGGGAAGGAAACGTCGAGCTCTCCACCGCGCTATCCTGCTCGATCACTCTCCTGCCATGTTGTGATCCCACAGCACTGACTTGAGCTCAGTCACCCCGAGTCGTTGAGGTTGTGCACCTGAATGGAACAAGCGCGTCAGCCTTCGGCTGTCCTCTCCTTGTCTCCCTACCTTCATTGACCTCAGTGCATTCGCTTCTGTTGACAAGTCGGCTTCCAGCACGTTCAGTGCGGCACATGGAGAGGTCGCAGCAGCGCTACCTGTCTTGGACAGTCCTACAGTGGACATGCCGACGTCCTGCCAGGGAAGAAGGATCATCGGGAGGCAACGGCAAGCAGGCCATGTACCATCCCGCTCTTGGAGATCCCCCCCACGCTTCGGAGCATCACTTCCAAGTGTGCTACACTGATATCAGAGGAAGAGATGGCAAGGGAGAGAGAGGGAGAGGGAGGGAGGGGGGGAGGGAGAATGAGAAAGTGTTTGTGTGTGTGTGCGTGTGTGTGTGTGAGGTAGAGGGAGGGTGTGAGGTAGAGGGAGGGAAGGAGGGAGGGAGGGCGGGCGGGCGGGCAGGCGGGGAGGGGGGGAAGAGGCAGGCAGGCAAGCAGGCAGGCAAGCAGGCAGGCAAGCAGGCAGGCAGGCAGGCAAGCAGGCAGGCAGGCAGGCAGGCAGGCAGGCAGGCAGGCAGGCAGGCAGGCAGGCAGGCAGACTTTCAGGGTGGATACCTGCAGCTGCATCCTGCTCCATTTCTTTCCGAGCGATCGCCTCCGTCATTTGCTGATATGTCTGCCAACCTATCACGAGGGCATTCAAATACACACCGGTCAAGATGTCACCTGCTCCCATTCTGCTCGTTCTTGAGCGATCGCCTCCTCAAGGTTTGAGATCTTCTGCTGCAAGAAAGACTTCTCGTCCTGCGCCGAGAGCATCAGCGAGGTCCTTGAAGCGTCTCCCTTGCCTTCAAGCGCTTCGTTTCTCGTTCGAACTGAACAATCTTGAGCTTCATAGCATGGACCTGGAACACGTTGAACACCCTCATTCACTCGTAGATCAATTCACCTGACTGTGCGCACTTCTTGATTCCCCTTCAGCCTCTGCCAACGCTTGCCCAAAGAATTCCTTCAACAAGACGTGAGCATGTAACAGCACAACAAGACGTGAGCATGTAAGAGAACAACAAGACGTGAGCTTGTAAGAGAACAACAAGACGTGAGCTTGTAAGAGCACAAATGTTACAGGCCCCCACGCACTTGTTGCCGTTGTCGTTCACTCCGCTCAATCTCCAGGGCTGCGATATGAGCCTCCTTCTCTGCTTCAAGGGCATTCTGAGCCGTGTGGAGCTGCTGCAGCACATCTCCTATCTCATGCTCCATCGACTCCATCTGCTGCGACAGTTCGCTCTTCTCGCTGTTGAGGTGGTTGATGGCCCGCCGAGCCTCGGAGATGGCAGCGTCCAGGGCCTCTATCTGTGCGGAGGAAGCCTTTTGCTGCTCCTGCAGCGTCTCGATCTTCTCTCTCATGTCTGTGTTGTCGTCCTCCAGGACTTGAATCTGCCTTGACAGCTGCTCTTTCTCCAACCTGAGATCATTTGTTCACGTGCAAGGCTGCCCAGCCGTCTTACATCACCTGCTCTTGCTGAACAACTCTTGATAAGCCTTCTGCAACCTAGCTACCTCTTGACCGGCACTCTCTGCATCCTCTCGAGCATTTTCCTTTATCTTCTCCAGCCTCTCTATCCTCTCAGCCCAGCTCTTCTTCTCCAAGTTGAATCGAGCCTGCAAGCACAGCACAAGATCAGGGACGACAACCATGAAGCGATCTCAACCCGACCTCACTCTGCGCCTTCAGGTCAAGCTCTCGCAGCAATGCAGTGATCCTTGTCGATGCAGCTTCTTTATCACGGTTGGACTCCTCTCTTTCTTTCCTCAACGCCTGCATCTCCACTGCTCGACTCTCCTCAAAACGTTTGATCTTTGCAATTTGCTTCTCAATCTCCTGGTCTTTCTTGATGATCTCACTTTGAAAATGCGCTCTCTCCTCTGCCCACTGCTGTTCGGCAGCCAGCAAACGTTTGAATTCCTCTGCAGCTGCAGCAGTTTTGCTCATGAGATTGGCCATTTGAGGGGAATTCATGGTTTCGGTTTTCAACCTGTTCAGAACATCATGACAAGCGACTTAAAAGATCCCCTTTGACCTCTCAGATCCCTGTTAAGAGCTGTTATGTTCCCACTGTTCGCGTCTGGATTGATCAGAGTGACCTAACATTCATTTTCTTCCAAACTCGAGATCCTGTGAAATTTCTCAGAATCAAAAGTTTCAATGAGCTTTGAAAACTCCACATCTCAAACTTCTCAGTTGAGCCTTTTGTCAGGATTCTGTAGCTATTTTATGTCAAAAATACATCACATATCTGTCACATATCTGTGCACGCGAGAACAAACACAACAGTCCATTTCTTGACATTCGAACTCTATAGAGGCTGCTGCTTGCTTCGGAATAGCAACTTGCTGTATGCTTTCACTGATTGGTTAATCACCTTGTTATCATCATACCTCTTTTTCAAATGTCCCGCTGAAAACTTTCTGAGGGACTCCGTAACCTCACTGAATAATTTGATCTTTCTCTGTCTTCGTTAGAGTTGCTCTTATTTCTTTGTTCCTGACTTGCAGATTCAGCGTTTCTGCTGCCCCTACTGCCGCATATTCTCTCCTGCAGCTGTGCATTGGTGTATCCATCTACCTCTCATCGGTACTTCTCGTTCACTGATGATTCGGGTTTGATCATCCTTTGAGAATCTGTTGTGACGCTACTTCAACTCACTGCCTCAGCAAGCTTGAAGCTTTCAGTTAGAATGGCTCATGTTCGTTTCTATCCTCATCCTCAACCTCAACCTTTATCTCTCTATCTTAGAGCCTTCTCTGCTACATCTGAGTCGCCTCCTCCTGACATCGTGCGGGCAAGTCGCCATTTCTGGTCTCATTATTATCAGTTTCAGTCGGAGCCTTGCCTCAAGTACCTCCCACCCCTCTTGTCCCGGCAGTGAACCCTACCCTGTGTCACTGTTCTTACCATCATTGAGCATCCTTGTTGGGGTAGTATCGGAGGTCAAAAGGAGGGGTTCATTGGCCCGATGAGCCCTCCAGTACGGTCGGAGGGGGTAGTATCCCCGGGATGGTCGACCGTGGGGCGAGTCGTCAAGGTCAGCCGGGTAGTAACGGTAGAATCCGGGCGGCTACTCACTTTCACTTAACTTTGAGTAAACTACTGACTCAGTGACCCTCGTCCTGATTTTTAACTTAACTTTGAGTAACGAAGACTCACCGTCACTGTGCCAAATTCATCGCAGTGTGACTGACTGTGAGTGACTCAGGCTTGTCGGTCGGGCCGGGCCTGCCTCCCGCGGCCAGAGCCTCCGCATCGGAGCCTTTCGGGGAACCGTTCGGAATCCGACGAGGGGCCGATCCCGGCGATCGGATACCGCAGCCCGCCGGGGCCCCGCCGGGCCGGGTACCGGCGGTACTGTGACTAGTACTCGGAGGCTCATCACTGATTACTCACCGGGCCTCACGGTGACGGCGGCGGGCCGCTCACCGTAACCGTTACTGCGGCGGGCTGCTCAGTGAAGCCGCGCGGCACGGTCCGTGACCGTCCGGCGGTCCGTGACCGTCCGGTCCGTGACCGTCACGGTGCACCGTGTACTGAGTGACTGAGTACGGTCCGTGTGACTGGGCCGGCCGCCGGGGCACTGAACGGTGGCACGGCGACGGTCAGGCTCGCCGAGTCGGACCCGGGCCGGCCCCTGAGTACCGTGTCCGACCGTCGGGCCCAGCCGGCCTGGCAGCGCGGCCCGGGGGGGGGGCGGCGTCACGGTCACACGGCAGTGTACCGGACCGTCCGACAGTACGCCGGCCCGGTCGCGGGCCCAGTCCGGCTTCCCGAGTCACCGGGCCGGCCCGCCGGCGGCCCGCCGGCGGGCCGCGCCGGAATTGAATGGGGCGGCCGTCCTCTACTACCGTACTCTCAGCCGTCCGAGTCACGGTTCTTTTGCACCCTACCCTGCTTTCCAACTCCATTGACCCACCCTTCTAGCTCAACTTCCACCACGAGCCTTGGCAGAACACGGGTTACACACCCACCCCTTCTTTCGATAATGTTAAGTCAGGGTCATACCCACCTTTTGACCAACCCCACCCCTGAAGAATGGTTAAAGCGCAACCACACAGAGTAGACACCTACCCCCATCGTTAACTAGCTGGAAAGGGGTGGATGTCACAGGGGGTGGGGGCGTGCCTCTTCAAAGCCTGGCCCTTCGTCCAAGGAGTATCGTTTGCTATGCTCGCACAGTCTTTCGGAATCGTGGTAAGTCTTCATGACATACTGCAGCTCCTGCTCAACTTCTTTGCATTCCTTCCTCGTTGCTCTTAGTGCAGCTCTCATGTTGTGTTGGTCTGTTTCTGTTCTTCTTCTTATAGTGCATATGTGCTGGATCTGTGAAATCAAACGCCTGTTCAGATCGTAGTGTGTGTCACCTTTTAACGTTTTGCTGCCTGTATTGCTTGTAAGATGTGCGTATACACTGTTTTAGCTCTCCTCCTCCAGAATATGTCAAAGCGTTTAGAACTGTCGTCAGCAGTCCTTTCCTGGGTGTGCATTCAATGGATAGAGAAATTATTACTTCTGTTCCAGATATTCTTTTGGTTGAGATATTGATCTTGTATATCAATCTGATTTCATCGATTTATGCATATCCCTACTGCTTGCATTGCCGTGAATGATATTCCAAGAAGACTTTGTTATTTTTATTCAGTGCAATGATCACTTATGCTCTACTTGTCATGAATAACTAGCCCATATCCATATCGTACATTCTAGAGATCAACCGTTGCGTACTTATTCGTTGTGATGTCTGGTTTTACAGCCTATGGCTAACAGCCAGATGCTGTCCTACAAGCCCTCCGACTGGGTGTTCCACAGGAACTTTGGATGGTGAACATTTTGTTGATCGGAGATGGAATTTTAATTTGATTGTTGAAGGTACGGCACCGCCGGAGTTGGTGAGGGCGAGTTTGACAACAACCGTGCTGCCCGTGGCTATGACTGGTAAGATTTCGTGATCTGGTGTAGAAATCCTGTCAAAATTCTAACGAATAATATAGGTACTGGGAGGGCCCTCCTTCCTATGTCCCCAACTACTCCAGCTGGGTCGAGAACCAGTAGATGTTTGTTTATGCAACAGTTAAACAATTTGCGGATTTGAAATGAACAGCGCATTGTGACACAGTTCCAACTTTGACGTCTGTGATATCCGTTCCTCATTTCATTTCCTCATGCACTTCTTCCCAGATACCTTCTTTGGTTTCATCCTGGAGCAAAACTTAAATTCTAAGCTTTTCAATCTAGCCAATGCAGAAGCGATTATTGCACTGCGATCATCCTTAACCTTCGCGCCCTCTGTGTCTTGTCTGGATGCAATTTGGCACAATTTAGACGTGTTGGAAGCTTGCATGTTCACGTTCACCGCAGCTGTCACAAATTCGGGCAACGATGGCAGCTTGACCTGTGATCCTGGATTGAAGGAAGGCTTTTTCAAAACCTGACTTGTCCTCATCAACTCTGGTTCGTCTTGATCAGTACATCCTTCCCTGGAAAAAAAAGTGGAGACTGTCGGACCCCAAATTGGAACTTGTGTTGGATATTTAGCAACAGATTGACTTTGAATGTATTGGTTTGTGCTTTCTGGAATGTATGTGGAATGTAACGCGGACAGAAGTAACGAGCTTGAATCGGGATGGCATTCTAGTGCTTGAAGTTGCATATCTCTTTCTCTCTCCAATTCTTTAGTAATTCTGTTGAGCTCAACATGGAAATTCGCATGTATACGAGCACGCTGTTCCGCGATCTTTAGCTCCCTCATAAAGTTGATATCCTTTCGAGCACTTTCGAGCATATCTGGAACAACGATTTTAGAGCTGACATGTCCTTTCTTCCGATCATGATGTTGTATCCAATCCTGATTTGATTGCATTCCTTCGGAAGGGATTGACATAAAATTGATGAAGCGGTTGTCTGTGTGACGTACAAAGGTAGGCTTTCGCACAGCAAATGCTTGATGCTGTTTCGAGTGACATTCATCCGTCATTTTCTTCACAGACATTGGATGCTATGCTGCAGATTTACAGAAGTACCAGTTGAATCCAGTTAGTCTCAATGTGATCGTGTGCAATCTCAAATATGATGTGAGCTCGTAAAAAAATTGAGAAAATCAATGCCTTTGGGTGCCAATCACGTATTCGAAGATCCTCACTCAATAAATGATCGAAAAAAAATCAACTGGGGCAATGTGCATATGAAGTTGTATCAGGCTGATAACAAACAACCTCGAAGAATCTCAAAGAACTCTTCTTTGACTGGTATTCCTCCTCGCTCCCTCGCTCCCTCGCTCTCTCCCCCTCTTTGTTTTTCTCTCCCTTTCTCCCTCTCTCCCTCCCTCCCTCCCTCTCTCCCTCACTCCCTCGTGCCTCCTTCCTCTTCCCACGGAGGACGTAGTGGTATCACTTCCCTCCAATCTCCCCTTGCACCAGGTCCTATCAGCTCGTATCGTTCCTCAGCCCCTTCATAGGTCGCCTTGACGCAATCCGTATGCTCCTAGGACCGATTTCCTATCAAAACAAGGCTAAGGCCCTTTTCTATGACCCCATAGACTCGCTCACCTACGATTCGGTCATACCGATATTCCCCCCTCATAGGCTCCTATCTTGCTCACCGTCCCTAGGGATTTCCTAGACATTATCCTAGGACTTAAAAGGCAAGGAGCTACAATATAGAGGTGCTAGGACTGCAGATGTCTAGGTTCACCCCTCAATTGGACGTCGGAAAGAGGGGTTAAAAAAAGTCAGTCCGCATGCTCTAATGGAGACCTGTAGGACGATATCTAGTTGCCTATAGTAGGCAGGTCCTATGTGACACAGCCTTTGCAAGGAAAAAGGAAAACAGACCACCCCACCAGGCATGAGACTCAAATGTACCGGTACTTCACAATTACGCACAGCAAAAAGGTATGCGATCGCCGGGACTCGAACCCGGGCCACCAGCTTGGAAGGCTGATGTGCTAACCACTACACTACGAACGCTTGGAGACACAGGATGCAATTTGGTATCTATATCACAATTCAAACAGGACCGTGACTCACAACTAGACCGACTCCCGGCTAAGTGACTGTCACCCGGCGAAAACATACCGTACTGATAACTTGGCTTTACAGTGACTTATCATAAGCATCCGAAGTTTAATGATGAGCCGCGCATGATTCCTTGCAGGCATACATTTCCAACGGTCAGTGCAATGAGTCACTACCGTACGGTGAGTGACTACTGACAGGCTGTCCGACTCTCAGTGGCGCGGCATGCCCGCCGCGCGGCCAACCGTCCGCCGGGTCATCGGCCTCCCGGAGTCCCGGCGGTCCGGTGGCACCACCGGACGGTGCCATGATGGGCCGACTCAGCCTGGCAGCGGGAGACGCCGTGCCACGGCGTCGGACCGCATTACGGAATGGAGAGACTCTCCGTCTGCCCGGCGCGGCGCCGGTGGAACCGTGGCTGCACCACTGACGGTCACCCGAGCGGCGGCACGGTGCATCGGCCGGCCCGGCCGCCTGGGGCTTGCTTCTGCGTCGCTCAAGCTCTTGACGGCGTGGCCACAGCGGCCGCTGTCACCGTGTGCCAGCGCCGGAATTTCAAGCCGAGTCCGGCGCCGAACGGTTGAGTCCCCGGGAAGCCGCGGGAGTCAGCCGGCGGTGGCACCGTCCGCTCATTCCGATTATGCCTACAGTGACGGGCCTTCCCATGATGCTTCAAGCTTTCAAAGTGTTGAACGCCGTCATATCTTGATCACTGACTTGCCAACGCCAACCGGGTTCCGACTCCCGCCGAGTCAATATGAATACGCTGTGCCGAAAATTGAACCGCGGAAATAAAGCTTTGATTCGCAATAGAGGCATTGCTGTCGGTCGCTTCACTCTCACATGTGCACGGGCCGCATGGACTCCGCAATTTCGAATACGTTTTGTCTAAACAGCCTGTAAGACCTGAAGGATTGAGCATTGAACATACTGACCTGCCTTTGTCACAATCATGTGACAGATCCTGTAGCTGTCACTGAGCCCTTCATTTTTTCCTGGAAATCGTATCTTCCGGATGAACTTGATTGACTTCTTCTCCAACCCTTCATGGCAAAACAGTGAATACGAGCCATCAAAAAAGATTCTCCAACACCTGCTTCCCTGCAATTGTATCATAGTCCACCTTTTCAGGTGTGTATCCAAAAGCCTTCCTTGAACTCTGTCATAATCCCACGTGAGACGGCAAACATTACTTTTCTCAAAATCAAAACCAAAACCTGCATTTTCTTTTCGAAGTCCCTCGGCGAGATCGGTCGTTTTCTACCCTCTACCCAGTGAGCATCGCCGCTGAATCGCCGCCTGATTTCGCAACTCAACAGGACAGCACCAACTTGATAAACTTGTGGTTACCTTGGGGAAAATGGATCAAAAGGTATCTCGGGAGAAAGGCCAGCTTCTTCCATATCATTCATGGAGCGTATGACGTGAGCACCTCGTGAGGATCCACCTGAGTTTCTTGATCAAATTTTGATCGAACGTTGATCTCTGGTGGCATACCAAAGATGATGAAACTCTCGGCTGGCTCGGGATGCTGCACTGGAGGTTGATCCAAGTTCACCTCTATGACGTTTCCTCCACTAGGCACTGAGATGTCTCCTCCAAAAAGCAGAGAGAGAATTGAGCCCAAGTCCACAACCTCGCCTCCTATTGGCAACCCAGTGTCGGCAGGTTTGTTGGTTTGCTTTCCAGAACCCAGGTCAATGTCCACCACTTCGCCATGGGCGTTGCTGATGTCAACGTCTACCACCCTACACGAAAATGATCATGATTCAGTATGTAAGCCTTGCACAATGTTTGCAAAAAGAAAAAGAGAAACCATGCCATGACTGTCTGAATGACATTGAAAGAGGCGTGGTTGGAGTCGTGCTAACAACCACTGGGGAAAATCTCACAGGGGACCTACCTTGTGGGGATGGCACCACCAGCTTGATCCACCAGAAGAATCAACAAGATTGAACGAATCAAAGGCCTGTTGATGAAGCTGCTTTAGTATTGCTTCGATAGCGCAAAGTTGAGCCACATGGCTTGGCAACATGAGAGAGTAGGGAAGAAGAAGGATGGAGGCGGAGGTTTGGAATAGATTTCCAGTTTAACAGGAATCTATGTCAAGATGAACTGATATTGAACAAATGGTGGCAGAGCTGATCACAAACAAGGAGCCTCCCACCTCATCGAGTGCTTTCCGTCGCCGCCACGCATTTCGCTGGGCACGCAGCTCGTAACTGCTCGTAACTGTAATCTTACATCACCGGACGGGCCCCGCCCGAACAAGGACTTATACTGAAAACTCGACAGCACACAAAATCAAATTTACTCATCTCTAAAAAAAAATAAAAAGAATTGTTTTTTACTTGCTGGTAAGAAGGAAACTGGGGAAAGCCCGAACCCGGGCGCCGCGGCTCGTCCCCGGCTCCTCGGCTGGTATCACCTATTCCCCCTGGTACAGCTATTGGTACAGAAATTTAGTATCTAATGGAGAATAAATTTCCTAATATAGCAGCAATGTTGAGAATTACATATGTAAAATTGATCAGTCAAAAATTTGATGATAGGAAATAATGATATCTGTCTCACACACAGTACTACCATTTGGATTTTCGTTAAACTCATTTTATATTTTTCAAATTTTCGGGCCCTGCGAATGAAACGTACTATCTGAAACATACCGAAGTGCAACTCCTCTAAAAGTTCAAAAAGCGTTGGAGAAATTGAAATTGTGAAATTAGAAGATTTCGCACTTTCGGGGCCGTAACGGATGAGATGATCTGGTAAGGGGTCCGGGGTTGGACCCTACCAGGGGAACCCACCCAGAGTGCTCCACACCTTGTGTTGTACCCCTCATTTTAGCTAGCTATAAGATAAAGGGGTCTGGGGACCCAGGATTCAAATTTTTCCCTTCGTCACCGGTGCCCAAATCTCATAAAATAAGGGGTACTCTAGACCAATTTGATGTTTGATGGGTGGTGGTGGCTGTATTGAATCAAAGGGGTGGCTATGTTCTTGTAAAGGAGGTCGGGGTGGTATTTGTGTTTGGAGGTGTTTGGTAGGGTATGGATGTCAGATGTTGACCTAAACATGGGGTAGGTGCCGTTATCACCTCGGTGCGCATGGATGGAAATTGAGGGTGGGGTAGTACTCTAGCTATGCATGGTCTGAAATTGGTGGGTAGGGGTAGTGAATTCTGGTAGCTAAGAGGAAATTAGATGGTAGGGTGGTTCCCAGTATACTTGGGGCAACATGGATTCCGGGCCGTGGAGGGGCCGGAGGAGTGACAAGCCCGGGGATGGAAGGAGGAGGGGTCACCTCCCGACTAGGGGTGACAATTGGGAGATCGCTGACCCTTGTCCCCTACGTCTGAGGGGTTTTGGAAGCCCGCTCCAGAGAACGTGACCAAAAGAATTCATGGGTGGTGCGCAGAGAATTGGGGGGGTGGGCTTGAGGGCCGTGAATCTCGCAGGGGTGGGGCACTGCTAGGTAGGAAAAGCAGGGAAAGTAGGGTGGGTAGTAAAGGCCGGAGATGAAGAAATGTGGTCAAAAGGGGGTAGGGGCGGGAGGGTGGGGGTGGTTGGAATAAAAAGGAGAGGGCATTTGAACCGCTCAGCGACCGGGACATCCCACGCGTATTCCTGTCCCTTCCTCGTTCCCGTCTCCTCTCCTCTCACTAACCAGACTAATCGTCCATGGCCCGTACCAAGCAGACAGCCCGCAAGTCCACAGGTGGCAAGGTGAGTTTCAGTTGTCCTAGAGATATATGATTGTTGTAGAAATTCTGCTGTTGTGAGCTTAGTTTGCTTTCATGTTTCTGATGGTGTTTGCGTCAGGCCCCCCGCAAGCAGCTTGCTTCCAAGGCTGCGCGCAAGTCTGCACCATCCACCGGTGGTGTCAAGAAGCCCCATCGCTTCAGGTGATGGTTTGTTTTGTGCCAGCCGCAGCAGTGAGTAATATGTAATGCAGGCCAGGAACTGTTGCCCTCCGTGAGATTCGTAGATACCAGAAGTCTACCGAATTGCTCATCAGGTATATCTTGATATTTTTCGTAAATTTACATTTCTTGATGTTTTTGGATTTCAGGAAGTTGCCTTTCCAGCGTCTTGTCCGCGAGGTCGCCCAAGATTTCAAAACAGATCTTCGCTTCCAGTCGCATGCCATCATGGCGCTCCAGGAGGCATCTGAGGCCTACCTCACTTCGCTCTTCGAGGACACCAACCTCTGCGCTATCCACGCCAAGCGTGTCACTATCATGCCCAAGGACATTCAGCTTGCACGCCGCATCCGTGGCGAGCGTGCTTAAGCCTACCTTAGGCAGTTTGTGTGATCACTTGCGCTCGTGTATAATAGTTAGAGTGGCCTTGATAGATAGATTCACAGAATTGGTGCGCTTCTGAAGCTGAGCAGATCCGAAAGTGTAATAAATCATATGAAATACCAATGTAGTTACATTCAACTCTGCCTGACTGATTAAGGCAAGAAAGCAACTTTCTGTTGTGATTCAAATGTACCAGACTGGAGAAATATTTCTGGATTGCCATGTTTCGGTTTAGCGAAGTGTATGGGAATCACATTTGTCTTCACTGTTGGATTGCAGCATTTCCATGATTGAACGAAAGGCACCTTGAAGACGGAAAGTTCTCAACAAGCTTAAGACATGGCAAAGTCTTGGCTTCCTCTATTGTTAATGCCAATGTGTGTATTTAAGACTTCCTCAAGAACTCATATTGAGTTCTTGCAATGTGTGGAGGTAGTGTCGGAATCAAAGATCTGCTAAATTTTCATTAAGCTGACGCCGCCCTGTAGCCGCCCAGCTCATTGATCATCCTTGCGCGCAAGTTGTGTGTCACAAGTTGTGTCCCGACAAGGCTAGCCCGCCGCTGGCTGTGCTTGAATCATGATGGCCACTGAGCTCCGAGACTTGATCGTACGGTCCTTGCGTGGCAACTTCCGCTGTGTGTCCGATCACAACTTGGCAAGTTGTGCCGTGTCACGGTTTCGGCCTGAGGACTCAGTCTTTCTGACGGTGCCTGACGGTGAGGCTTCAGGCGTGCTGGAATGAATGCCAACATGAAACTGGGGCCGTCAGGCTCGGTCCCTGTGACGCCCGGTGCCCGGCCCGGCCGCTGACAGGCTCCGGGCGGCAGCGACTTTCAAGTCAGTTTTGCCAAGTTTGGACTCATGATCGGATCGGACATGAACGAATGTACAAACTTCCACGGTCAAGTTCAGTTCGGTCGTTGGCACCGTCACAGTGATACGGCGTCCACCGTCACGTCCGGTGACCGTGCTGCTGAGACTCAGTCTGACTCGGACGGGCGTGACGCCCGGCCGCCGCGGGCCGGGCGTGTATGCCGGGCGCCGCCGGCCGGCCGGTTGCGGCAACCATTTCGATTCAAATCGATTTAATCCGAATGGACAGCTGGCGGACTGAAAGCAGCGATGCATTTGCTATGAGCAGCGAAGGGCGAAGAGGAGGAAGACGAAGGGGGACGAGAGTAGAAGTTCGAAAACAACAGGAATGAGAGAGACGGAGTTGACCAGAGCACTGGATCGTTACAGGAAGTGACGGTTGATAGATGAATGAGAAAGGAGAGCGAGGAGAACGGAGTAGCAAGGAGTCTGTGCAGATACATCGTGGATTCGAGATGATGAAAGGAGGCGATTAGTGACTATGCAAGAGAATTTTGCCGAAAGATGAATCTGCTTCATATTAACTAACTCAGGATCGGCTATCTAAGTAAGGTGGAGATCAGCCAGTTTGCAGTGAAGCTGGTTCTACTTAGTATTGTGTTGTATTCCATCAGTCTCGTCCACATCTTTGTTTGAATTGACTTTGCTTCAAGTGGTGTATCTATGTGAATGTTTTGATTTTCTGAGTGAGATGTCGGCCTGGTCAATTGATTCTCATTTCCAGGATCATGGAAGCAAGTCTTGAAATTCCCAAGGGTGGATTTTCGTTTGACCTTTGCAAAAGGTTGATACGATGAACCACTTTTTCCCTTTTTATGACTTGATGTGGTAGAAATGCCTGGCTAGAGTCTCAAGCAAATTATGGTTCCAGCTCCATCATTAAGAAAGCAAAGAAAACCGGAACCACCATTGCTGGTGAATCGTTTGCAAATCAATCCCTGCGTTCTCAATGTATGTTCCTTTCCAGGTATCATTTTCAAGGATGGTGTAGTTCTTGGAGCTGATACTCGCGCTACCTCTGGACCCATCGTTGCCGACAAGTATTGAAAGCTATGTGATTGTATGTGTTTGATGATCGAACAGGAATTGCGAAAAGATCCACTACCTTGCCCCGAATATTTTTTGTTGCGGGTATTCATTTTTTCATTCGAGCCTAAGACTGTATCATTGATTACTTGTACAGAGCCGGAACATCTGCGGATTGTGAAAATGTTACTGGTGACAGTTTCATTTACACCGAATGGCACATTTGAATGAACTTTCTTCACGACAGAGATGATGGCTTCAAACCTTACGCTCCATCGATTGAATACTGGGTGCTTTATCATCACTGGAGGCAATGTTCTCTGATTTTCATATTTACAGACGCGAATGCCGTGTGATCACTGCTGTGACTATGCTCTCGCAATATTTGTTCAGATATCAGGTATGTCGAATTTGTCTTTCTTTGTTTCAGATATAACTCGAGACAAGGGCTATATAAGTGCTGCACTTGTGGTTGGTGGGGTTGATTCGACCGGGCCTTCTTTATACACCATTCATCCGTATGATATCCAATGTTGATCTCGCTGAAGTTGCTGATCTCTCAACATAGACATGGTAGCGTTGATCAGCTGCCCTTTGTAACAATGGGATCCGGATCTCTTGCTGCAATGGCGGTGTGTACCCTGCTAAATTTCGATGTGCAGCTGATCATCGATTGTTTCAAGGTTTTTGAGGCCGGATATCAAGAGGGTCTTGAGAGACAACCGGTCAGGGCTTTCTGAGTTGTAGCGGTCTCCACTAACAATGATTTAGGGGATTGACCTTGTACGTGCTGCGATTCAATCTGGCATTGACAACGATCTTGGTTCGGGAAGGTAGGAAATCATCGTTGACTGATTCTTTAGTGATTGTACTTGGCAGCAACGTGGACATCACTGTGATCACTCCTGAAGGGGTTCAAAGATTCCGGTAAGTGCCAGCTCTTGAATATACAGGCAATGCCGGAAGCTTACTTCATCCAGCAATCTTGACAAGGCCGAGCCCAAGTATAAGAGCAAGAATCCTCTCTTCTACCCCAAGGGGACTACGAGTAAGGCTGAACATGTTTTGATGCTCTGTGGTCTTTGACACATTTCGTTAGAATACTATGATGAGATCATTTCTAAAGTCGCAATCATTGAAGGAGATGGTGATGTATCAGGAGTTTGCTTTATTTGAGCACTCATGTTCTGGCACAGCTATGGAGCAATGAATTCATCATCTCGAAATGTCAAGTCGCTGTTGGAGCATGAAATGAGATGAAACTTTAATGTTTTGTTTCACGGCGGCTTAGCTTCCTTTCTTACACAATCATTTATGGAATGAATTGTCTCTGATTTTATGCATGCATGATTCATGGTGTATGCTTTCATTTCCTTCTCTCTGCGAGCAAGGGAAGTGTTGAAATTCGGCACAACATCGAGTGAACCCGAACGCCGGTTATTGCTTGTCTTCACCAAACATTTTGACATTTCAGCCGATGACTCTTCTTCAGCAGGCTCAAATTAATCAACCTATGTTTGACAATTGATCTTGTCAGCAACGCATTGCTCAAATCACGCCACTTTCCTGTCAAAGTTCCGAATCACGGAACGAAATTGCACAATTCTTGAAATTCAGTAATAATCAAGGGGACATGGTGTTTGTGACACAGATTACAGCACTGAGAGGAGTTGCTCGTGTATTGTCAACATCGTACCGTTTAAGAGGATTGAGATCCTATGGCTCTGCCTGTACCACATTTGCATTGCACCGTAAAAAAGGATCATTGTATATTTGATCCAGACGGCATGTTGGTATGCAAGCCAACAGCTGCTCTTGTCGTGCCAGCATCACAATGACCCTACTCATTGCCATTACGTCTCAGGAGACAGGCAAGTCTCTTGGTAACATCTTATATGCCTTGAAGCCAATACAATATTTTAGCATACTATTACTAGCGGCTGATCATTTGAATGGCCTCCGAGGCGAAAGGAACAGGCAGAAACGTGCGATGTTGATGTCGGACGATGGGAATCAGTGCGAGCTGTACTTGGGGAATTGAACCTTTCGGAGAAGATTGCACAAGTCCTCCTTATCACTGCAACAATCAGAAAGATAGAGTCAACTTCTATTCAACACTGATCGCATGCAATCAGGAGCAAACGGCAACCAACTAACATGTACTGTGTCAGAGAGCTACTTACTCGTCTGTTGTGCATCCTACGGTTGTGCAAACTTGCGCTGCAGCCTTGCAGTCTTGCATGTCTTCCTCATCGACCTCCAACCCGCCATGCAGCCGCATAAACATCCGCATGAGAGTCATCTCCCCTTTTAGCGGCGCGTCAATGTGACACCGGGTCCGCCTCGCCTCCGGCCGGCCCGGCGAGTCACCCGGCCGAGTCCCGGCGACTCCGGCGCCCGCGCCCCGGGGGCCGGGCGGGTGAACTTCGGAATGCGGCCGCGCCGTGCCCGGGAGGCACTATCAGAACGAAGGGCAGAGTCAGACTCCGGCGGTTACGGACCCGCCGCGCCGCCGAGCCACACCGGGAACTTGAGATCACGCCGCCGCCGAGGCTGTGTGCCAACGGTGATCGGACTGTGTGGCCTGAGACGGTGAGTGACGCCGGGTCCCCGCCGCCGCCGTACGGTCCGATCCCCGATGATGGCACTGAGTCACTTGGGCGCGGCCAGTAACTTGGCTCGGAGTCTTGGGGGCCGGGCCCGGACTCTCCGACGGAGGGCCCGGAAGTTACGAGTCATGCCAGCGGCTGGCACAATGCCACACAGGCTCCGGGGGGCCTGTGAAGGCTGAACTCAACTCACTGAGTCAGTCACGGCGGCCTAGTTCTCAGCCTACATTACGTTCGCTTGTTGGTTTTGGGGTTCTTTTTCCTGTGGGGCTTTGATACAGGCGTGGTAGAGTTTGAAGAGGGAAATGCACAGGGGTGGGTCCTGTAATACTAATTTATTTGTTTTAATGGTACAAATTACAATACTTTTAAGAGTCCAGCATTTTATGATGGTAGACCCCCCGAGCCCCTCCCCCCTCCCTTCAGCCCTCTCGCGATGGTGCAGGGATATGCACAACGCTAATCAATGACGAAGACGGATAGACCATCAAGATTCGAAGTTAATGTCGATGAGATATCTTGATAACACGGTCGTTGTATTGCTTTTGTGAATACAATCATCCTTATCGTAATCTAATCTTGCAAGTTCAGAATCAAGCACCATCCAAGTGTTGCTGTGATGATTTTTCATTCGCATAGTCGACAATGTTATGTTTTATCAATAAACAAATGCTTGAGATGTAAAGTATTGCACTAGATATCCAGTGCTGTTTGTCAAAGCAGCTCAACCTTCACTCGTGCCCTCACAAACAAGATGGGACAACGAGCATCCTGCTCTTGCCTCATCATAGTGTAATCAAGGATTTTGATTTTGCATAGTTCAAGATATTTGATGTTAGAAATTTTGTGCCTCAGATTTACAGTATACATTTGAATGGGAGAGGCAACATGTTTCACGGGTATTGGCAAGGTGTATGAACATCCAACTAGGGTCACGAAAGCATGAACTGAGCTGAGTGTACGTGTTCTATCAAGCATGATTCAAAGCTCATGGCCCTGCTTTGAAGCGTGGTTCGTTCGGAACCTTGCAACCTGCATGCTGTGGACTGATATGATGTTCAGAACTCTAGAGTGTTGTAGACAGTAGCAGCTTCGCATGCAGCGAGTAGCAATACTCTGTAACACGATTGTTCTCGGTCAAGGCATCAACAGACGGTACGCATTTCATTAAGCATGATCTGGAATTAGTTTACTTGCAAGAGAACTCCTGTGCACATGACTCTGCAACTGCGCTGGAAAGTTGCATGCAGATCTCAGCATGATGATGTGACGCAGAAAAGCTCACTCCATACAGGTTGTCAACTTTCACGATGTAAGGATATGAAGTCAAGCTATGTATGCAACATTGAGATACGTTGCTTCAGAAGTGATCCACTGTCATGAATTCTCATGAATTCATTCAAATCGTCTTTTCTCCACATGTTGAGCACCAACAGCAAGTATTCGATACACTTAGATCATCCCTACATAATTTTCTTTTGTCGTAAAACTTGTCTGCTGTCGATATCGTCACGAGCATGTAATATCTTACATGTGTTCATTGTTCTGCTAGGAAGGAAGGTGCCAAGGAAAAAAATGCCGTGTTGCTTGTTCATGTGGATGCACGATGCTTACCTGATACACAAACATGAGAAGATCAATCTTCACTTGATCTCAGCCTCACCGTGATTCGTGATGGGATCTGTTTTTGAGAAACAGATTGCCGCTAACAGTTTGCACGTCTTCAACAATGTTGTTCAAGCTGGAATTGGGGTTCGAAACAATCTAGACAATATAACGTCTGTCATCAACCTGTATGTGGAGTAGCAATGCCAACCTGAGTGCATCACCACATGTAATATGTGCAAGTGCAGCGTTGAAAAGGGCAGAGCTTTGGGCATCCTGATCCATGCACGATGACTGCTCGCCGGGAAGCAGGATCTGTCACTAAAGTATCAGAGTTGCAAAGTGAGCATGCATACCACTCAAACCCACCATCTTTGATTCTCATGTTTGACCTCTGTCACCATGTTGGTCTTGGCATCTTTCAGTAGCCTGATGGTCGCTGGATGGGCAACATTCATCATGCATCGAGAGGGAGGGATGGGTTGGGGATTCCTTACCACCCACCCCCTGATCCCAAGATTGAGTGCCGTATCGACCACCCTCCTGTTTTGTGGAATTATGACACATGAGCAAGGGTGGGTACCTTACGTTAAAGTTCAAATTTTGAATACACGCCTCTGACCAGGGGTTATGCCTCCTGTATCCAACAGAGAAAAGCATGGGTGGGTCGATAGGATTTTCGGTACTGTTCTTGTACCACGAAGGCGTGTAGAATTGATTTTATTGTCGTCATGCAGTACAGTTTGAATCTAAGAATAGCACGCCGCCGATACAAATTTCTGCATGCAAATACTTGGAATAAAAGGTTCACAACCTACCCTTGCCCCAGCCAAGTCGCCCACCCGACCTACTCTTTTCCCATGGGAGAGTGAGGGTGGGGTCTACTCCAGGCAAGGGCAGAAGACCCCCAGGCGCCATCAGGGGGGGAAGGACTGGTACAAATTGCAATTAGAGCCGTGTCCATGATTAGTACCAGAAGGACAGGATCGAGAATTAACTAAAGCTATAAGCGAACGTAATGAGTAGTTGTATTCAATGGCACTGTACCGTAAGCCTAGGCGTAGCCACGGTACGGTACCGTCGCCGCTGTACTGACTAAGGCTGGCTTGACTGGGCCCGGCAGTCGGAGCGCGGCGGCCCCGGGCGTCACTGTGACTTGCCGGGAGGCGATCGGACGGTCCGTCCTCAGCGGCCCTCTGCCCGGCCGCGAACAGTCACGCGCCGGGCCGCGCAATGAAGGCTCGCGGACAGTGAAGCTTGACTCTGAACTTGACCGGCCACTCGCCACTGTCATACCGAGGCCCTACCGGGTACTGTGACGTACGCACCGTGACTCAGTGAGCCTGGCCCGGGTCGCCGTCCGATCCTCAGCACGGTGTCGGGAGTCGCCGGGCAGCGTGATCATACCGGGCCGCGGCGGCTCCGGAGTCCAGTTGGCCGGGCCGCGAGCCCGGCCAACTGTGACTGAGTCGCGGAGCCGCAGTTCCGATCACGAGCACCGGTCACGGTCGCGGGTCCGTGCGACGCGGCCGCCCGGCACCGTCTCCCCAAGTTCCCCCCGGCAAGTTGAAGTCTCCGGCGGCTTCCACGGTGGGAGCCCGGCGGCCTGTCAGAGGCTTGAAGCCGCCCGGCCGGCCGCCGCTCGCTTGAAATGCCCGGCACTGATGACGGACGGAAGCCTGTTCAGCCGCGGACGAGCGGCGGACTACTTCAGGTATCCCGGCGGTCGCGGCGCCGCTTCAAGGCATATGATAGCCTGCAGTCTCCGAGTCTACCGTACTGCCAGGGTCGGACCGGTCCAGGCAAGTCCGATCTCACTGCCGAGTCCGGCACGGCTCAGCGGCTGCCCCGGGCCGCGCCTTACATCGCCGCCCGGGGCGGAATCATCATCGAGAGCCCCGGGAGCCTTCGACGGCTCTGTGACCCTTCACTGATCAGTGGCTTCCTACCTGGCAGTGCTTGACAGTGATGCTGCTGCAGCCGCTCGGGTTCCGCTGCCAGTGACTTGTGCAGTCCCAGTCCGTGCCATGTACTGGTCAGTCGTAGCGCTCGCCGTTCTCAGCCCGGGGATTTGGAGCCTTCCGGCCGTGAAACTCTGCGAGGGAACATCGCTATGCTGGCGCGAATCCTCAAAACAATCCAGTGAGGCTCTGAGAGCCACGGCCTTGAAGCATCATGGGCATCAATCCACTTCAACCCGATCTTCGATCTGTGCCAAGCTGAATAATTTTCGCAAACGAGGCCCGTCACCGGACTGTTCAGGTTCTGGGCCAGGCGCTAACGGTCGCTTAAGTCTGCGCGGATGCCAGGCTGTAGACACCCGCCAAGGCCTGGGAGGTTCATTTGACCCAGTGCCAAAGAGGAGCGTAGCTGAGAGTGTACTTCCTGCAAGGAAGGTGTCAGGAGCAAGATTGACGCGCAGCACAAGTCGAGGAACCATGGGAAAGGATCGGTCTTGACAAGGCTAAACATCCTCTCCAAGACCCAAACAAGGAACCCAACCTGCGCCGAGGAGCGATCAGATCGGGTGCTAGCAAGGAAGCATCCTAGCTCCATACCATCGCAAGCCTGCCATTGTTCAGCTCTCGGTATCGCATCAGATATCTTGCATCATCCGACGTCATTCTTCTGTAGATACCAAGGGGATCGAAGCTTGCATCGCCCGGCACCTGACAGCAATTGCAGGTCAAGACGGGAGCATCGCATATGACTACCTTTACGTAATCATCGTCGCACTTCCCAGCTGAAACAGGGTGCCAGTACCCTATCCTCCTCCCCTGCTTCCATTGACGCTTTCCCAGCACCTCCATCAACTATCGCAACTTCTTCAAGACTGAACAAGCACTCATCCCCTTACTCACCAGGAAGACTGCCAGCGCCCCTACCATGAACTTCTGTCCTTCGAACTCTGGTGTCCTTGAAAGCCCCCAGCCATCCCACTCAAGTGTTTTCTTGATCGTTTCAGACGCAGGGCCTCCGACAATGGCCAACATAGCAAGCCTCGCATGACGAATCTCGGATTCAGCCAAGGTGACCAAGGAACTGTCGTCTGCCTCGGGCAGTCTCTCTCCAGACCACAAGTCTCTGGATGCAACGCAGCAGGGATCGAAGCCCTTGTTTCCTGCTAGCACGCTTGTTCTCAAGGGAGATTCAGGCTCCATCAGCCCTCTTGATAGAGCTCTGGAGGTAGCACTGACGAACAGGTCCAACACTTCCTTCCTCTCGGCCACGTTTCTCACTTGCGACTGTGCGCGCACGATCCTCTCCTGGGACATCTCTGTCCTCAGTCTCATGCCCCGTTTGCTTTTCAGCCATTCAACATCTCGTGTGGACAACGTTCTGATCTTCTTCCGGTTCTCGGCCAATGACGTCTGTTTTTGTATCTTCCTCACCTGCGACACAACTACAGCTCTTTCAGCTGCAGCCACACGTCTCTGAAGCAAAGAAAGTCGCAAAGATGTTCCATTGCCGGGTTGTCGCCGTGGATTGATTGGAACATGCCTAGATGTGCTCGAGTTGGCCATCGAAGCCTCTTGTTTGTGAATTCTCGTTTCTTGCTCAGTACTCATGCACTGTACTGACACCTTTGTCGTTTCTCCAAATGTATGCCATGACTTCGAAGTCTTATTACCAAGACTGAGAGATCCTCGACCGAGGACTGGCCGATATTGTGGACATGCTGCCAACGATCTGCATAGTGATCCTGGGTGACCAAGACTTGTCGAGAAACTACTCCATCCGAAGGAATCCACGCCTTGGATCGAACAGAGCACTACGAAAGAAAGCAGATTCATCGTTCTTGTGTATTCATACATTCGGTCCATCTTCTCCCTCCCGCTCTCCATCTCATCTCCCCACCACGCCCATATCACGCCGCTCCGCCATCTCCATTTCCACCGGATCCACCCCACCTCCACTTTCCCCAATTTTGGCCCAAAAATCAGAGGTAATGAGAGGGTTCCAAGTGCCCCCAGTATAGGAAACATAGTTAACTGAAAATTGTTGATAGTTTGATCTCTCTGCTGGGGTACTGAACGTATGAACAAACCGTCTCAATTTCAATTCCGCCGTCACAAAAATGACAGAGCCACTGCCCCGGCAATGGGCCGGAAAACTTGAAGTGGAATCGGAAACTGACTCGGAATCCTCAGTTGACTCACTGCGGCACTGCGGCCGCTGAGTCGAGTCGGACTCGGAGGGCGGCACACAGCCACTGTGACCGGGGCCCGGGGCGGCCGCCGCCGCCGGTCAGTGTCGGACTCGTGACTGTCAGGTGGCCCTGGCCGGCCGGGTAACTCAGTAGTGACGCCGTGGTCCCGGCGTTCAACGGTTGGCGCCGGCGCCCGGCCGCGCGGCCCGGCCGGGCGGGCGCGGCCCAGCCGGGGAAGTCTCTGAGGCAGGCCTGAGGAAGGGGGTGGTTGAGAAATGGAACAGGTGGGGGTGGGGGTGGGCTGGGCTGGGGGGCAGTGTGGGGGCCCGAATGCAGGCTGGGATGAAGTTTATGTGAGGAAGAAGAGGAGGAGAGGAGAGGAGAGGAGAGGACAAGTGCACACTGGACACAACAAGAGAGGACGCGGCACGGTTCAAAGTTTGGCTGATCACTGAGGCTGAGTCGGTCAGCAACAAACAGCTTCCAGTAAGCGCAACATGGTGAAGGACGCGATGTCGAATAGAGCACAGGATCTGCAGTGGTTTATGTGACTTGCACGTTGGAATGGGGAAGGGATCAAGAAACGAATTTCACGAAGCGAGAGATCACGATGGGGAGATCTCATCAGGTTACAGAAACAAGCCTTACTGCATGTCGTGATCTGCTGACTTGCACGCAGCACTTCTGCAAGCCTCTGACATGCATGCGGAGCTGGAGGACGAGTCTCCTGCTGAGAGGGTAACGCTTTGTTGATGTCAGAGACCATGACAACGAATCGATCTGACCGAGCTCCTGCTTGTCAGCGTGAATGCCTCGACACTGCGCAATGGTCAAGCGTGGGGCTCAGATACGTCGTCAACGGATCGCTCTACCTCGTATGGTAGGAGGCATCTCAGTCTGCCTCGCCTGCTGACTGACTAGCACCAATACTAGGTTTGCGATCTCTACTGCTGTCATCCTGAACGTCAAGTTCCTCGTCTCCAGCAAGGTCGACCCCTTGATCTGCGTTTGACGCACCTGTGCGGTGGGTGACTCGAGGTGTTCAGGGGCATTTCCCGTACCCGCTTGCAGTCACAGCGTGCGTCAATGGCCTGATGGCGCTGCATGCGTTCGTCGTGTCAAAGATGCCGGGAGTTCGGGTGGATGAAGTGACTGCCTCCCAGTTCCGATACTGCATCATTCCCATCTCCCTGGTGACGGCGCTGGAGATCGGAGGGACCAACTACGCGCTCAAGCTGCTGTCCGTGTCGTTCGCGCAGATGGTGAAGGCAGGAGGTCCCTTCTCGGTCATGATCTTCGCTCTCTTCTTCAAGCTCGAGAAGTTCAGTTGCGTCCTACTTTTTTCGCTCGTCACCATCTGTGGAGGGCTTGCGATCGCTTCCTGGGGGCAGATCGACTTCCAGTGGACAGGCTTCATCGTTGCCTTCGTCGCCGTCTTCATGGGGGGCCTCCGCTGGGCGCTGACTCAGTTGCTGCTGCAGGGAATGTTTGAAAGCTACCATCACCTTGCAGGCAAGGGGGAGGGGGAGGGGGAGGGGGAGGAGAAGCCCGCTCGCCGCTCAGCGAGACCTCGGCTGTCTCCTCTGACGATGACTCTCTACACTTCTCCTCTAGTCAGCCTGGCCCTGCTTCCTGCCACCATCATCTTCGAATCCGGGGGGGTCGTGGCAGTCTTGCGCGCCTGCTGCTCGCCGCCCTCGTACTACCTCATCCTCTCCGCCTCCCTCTTCTTCAGCTCCATCCTTGTCTTCTGCCTCATGGTCATCGAGTTTGTGCTCGTCCGCAACACCTCCTCCCTGGCGGTGTCGGTGGGCTCGGTCTTCAAGGAGATCTGCACCATCGCTGCGGGGATTGTTGTGTTCGGCGACCACCTGACCATGTTCAACGTGATCGGATTTGTGACGTGTCAGGTACGAGTCTTGCTCCCCGTGCCTGCTGCCCCTGACCTGGACTGGTTTCATTCCGGCAGGCCGGCATTGCAACATATATCTTCATGCACTACAGGGATGACAAAAAGCAGCAGTCGCTGACAGACGACGAGGCCGCAGATCTGAAGCCTGTTGTCATGCACTCCATGGAGGGAGAGGCGAATCTGCGCGAGGAGTTGATTGCTGAGCACGAGTGAGACCTTGGCCAGCAGAACGGGCGAACCGTGACGGGCAAGTTGAGATTCGACGATAACAGGAACCATTCATTCTCTGTTGACACGATACAAATCATTGTAGCGGTTGAAGAACCCGTCCCATCCCCCAAACATGAAGCATTCATCTTCCCTTCCTCTGCCTGCCCACCATCCCGTGTCGTCAGATCCTGTCAGCGGTCAACTGCAAGTCACCAAATGAGTTCAGAGACATCCCGACGCGGCTGAAAACTTCCTTGTCCGTCCTGCAAGGTCCAGCGCTCACTGACCCCTCACCATGTCCACCGAGCTCACAGCTCACCCCTTGCTCCACGTGCTCGATGTCAATGACTTGTCCTCCAACGAGTACCAGAAGGCCTCGCTCGCTATCTCGGGGTGCGGATGATCAGCAGTCCAGCCACCGACCACCAAGATGGAGGGAGACTTTCCCGCGAAAACACTCGAGTGACGTCATCGGCAGCAAGGGCAACAGCATCTTCTACCATGCAGCCGGAGTGCTCCTCCTGTACTCGCTGCCGACCTGCTGCGCAGCAGGATCCCAGGTCTTGCAGGACATGCGGGTGTGAGAAGGGAGGAGGAGAGGAGGAGAGGAGGAGAGGAGGAGAGGAGGAGAGGAGGAGAGAAGGAGAGGAGGAGAGGAGACTTACGTGATCACTGCACGAGAAGAAGTCGATGGCGCTGACAGGGGCGTCGCTCTCATGATTGGCTGAGGACATCCCGCCAAAGCTGATCAGCTTGTCATCCCATGGCAGCAGGACGTGCTGATGTGGAGCTTGTCAGGGGATGCACGAGGAGGGCGGAGGTGGAGCGAACATGCTGAGACTGCCTGTACCTGCGACAAGGGATATGGCTGTCGATCAGCAGCATGAGGGAGGAGGAGCTGCCATGTCATAGATCGAAGGTCGAGCATGTACCTGCCTCGTCATGCTCAGCGACTGCCGGTGCAGAGGAAGAGGAGCAGAAGAATCTTACATGTCGTTCAAGTGTTGGATTCCGTCGAAACCCCCATAGACATACAGCATCTACCGCAGCTCTCAGCCCTCCTCCTCCCCCGGCACGCCAGAGTCCTCACGTCCTCACGCACAGCTAGCCCATGGTTCCCCCTTGCCGTCGGGCGCCTTCCTGGCATATTGTGTCAGCGACAAGACTTTGGATGCAGAACGTGAGCAGGTAAACCAGAAGTCCTCGGGGTCATCCACTCCTCGGAGCTGCGTAGGTCAAGAACGTGCAGCTCTGCCAGTGGTGAGCTGTCAAGACGAGCACAAGCACTCATGCGCATTACCGTCAAAGGTTTTCATCATGTCGACGCCGCCAAAAATGAAGCATTTCCCCTCATGAGCAGCTGCTACATGCCCCTGCCTGTGACACGTTCAAACCGATGCCGCTGGATAGAAGGAGCATGAACAGGCTCTCTGAGCATCATCTCCGCTCGTCCTCTGTCCCCACAGACCCACCTGGCATGAAGCTCTCTGCTCTTGGCGATCCTGGTCCAACTCACTGCCTCCTCTGATATTTTACCTGCCCACCATGAAAGTGAAACGCGATCGCCCCGTCCACGGCTGACCTGCCCACGTGTCCGACATGGCGACGTCATCATTCTCACCTGCTCCCTCGTGAGAACTGGGAGGAGGAGAAGCCGGTCTTTACCGCCATGGATGACGAGCAGGTCTTTCTCCACCATGGCACCCGCATGATGCGCTCGCTCGGGCGGGGCCTCCCCCTGCACCTGGGTGTGGCAAGTTCAGTCGCCGGGACACGGAAGGGAGAAATAGTCTGGAGGAAACATCAGGATGCAGGGAAGGAGGGGAGATGAGGAATGTATGCCATTGTGGGCAATAAAAATGCTGTAAGCGACTGCAGTGATAAAAAACATGGAAAGGAAACAAGAGAGGCAGGAGGGAATAGTAAAGAGGCAACAGGAGGCGAGGAGTGAGGGTGGAAGATAGTAGAGTGGAAGATAGCGATACAGTACTTATTGCGTTGATGACCATGGAGGAGAGGATGGTGGGGGTGAACCGGTAGGGAGAAA